TCATTTTTTAAATAAGTTTTTTATTTTAATTCCAGTATAGGTAACATACGGTACTCTATTAGTTTTTATTATTATATTAGTATTATACTAGTTTCGGTAGACAATAGAGAGATCCAACAATTCAGTACAGTACTCCGTGCTCATCACGACAACTTAATCTTCAACCCCTTCACCTGTTTCACATCCGCATACCACCACCCTCTGGTAACTGTCTGCTGGTTCCCTAGAGTCTGTTTCTTGGTTTCTCTCTCTTTTCCTTTGTTTTGTTTTCTTTCTTAAATTCCACATGAGTGAAATCATACAGTATTTATATTTCTCTGACTTATTTTGCTTAACATTATACTCTAGCTCCATTCATGCAGCAAGATTTCATTCTTTTTTATGGCTGAAAAATATTCTATTGCGTATGTGTACACCATATTTCTTTATCCATTCGTTAGTTGATGGACACTCAGGTTGCTTCCATAATTTGGCTATTGTAAATAATGTTGCAATAAACAGAGGGATGCATTTATCTCTTCAAATTAGTGTTTTTGAATTTTTTGCATAAATACCCAGTTGTGTGATTACTGGATCACAGTTTAGTTCTATTCTTAATTTTTTGAAGAACCTCCCTACTGTTGTCCACAGTGGCTGTACCAGTTTGCATTCCACTAGCAGTGTATAGGAGTTCATTTTCCTCCACGTTTTTGCCAATACCTGTTGTTCTTGTGTTTTTCATTTTAGCTGTTCTAACAGGTGTGAGGTGAGATCTCATTGTAGTTTTGATTTGCGTTTCCCTAATAATGAGTGATATTCAGCATATTTTCATGTGTCTGTTGGTTATTTAGATATATTCTTTAGAGAAATGTCTGTTTATGTCTTCTGCCCATTTTTTAATTGGACTATTTGTTTTTTGGGTTCTTGAGTTTTATCAGTTATTTATATATTTTGGGTGCTAACTCTTCGTCAGGTATGTCATTTGCAAATGTCTTCTCCCATTCAGTAGGTTTCCTTTTAGTTTTGTTCATTGTTTCCTTCACTATGCAGGAAATTTTTATTTTGACATAGTCCTTATAGTTCATTTTTGCTTTTATTTCCCTTGTCTCAGAAGACATATCTAGAAAAATGTTGCGATGGCCGATGTTAGAGAAATTACTACTTGTTCTCTCTTCTAGGATTTTTATGGCTTCAGGTCTCATATTTAGGTCTTTAATCCATTTTGAGTCCATTTTTGTGTATGATGTAAGAGAGTGGTCCAGTTTCATTCTTTTGCATGCAGCTGTCCAATTTTCCCAACACCATTTGTCAAGGATACTCTTTTCCCATTGCATATTCTGTCCTCCTTTGTAGAAGATTAATTGACCACATAATTGTGGTTTTCATTTCTGAGTTTTCTATTATGTTCCATTGATCTATGTGTCTATTTGTGTGCCAGTCCCATCGTGTCTTGATTACTACAGCTGAGTAATATAACTTGAATTCTGGAATTGTGATAACTCCAGTTTTGTTTTTCTTTTTCAAGATTGCTTTGACTATTTGGGATCCTTTGTGGTTCCATCCAAATTCTGGGATGGTTTGTTCTAATTCTGTGAAAAATGCTGTTTAATAGGGATTACATTAAATGTATAGATTGTTTTGCATTGTATAGACATTTTAGCAATGTTTGCTCTTCTAATCCATGAGCACAGAATGTCTTTCCATTTCTTTGTGTCATCTTCAATTTGTTTCATCACTGTTTTATAGTTTTCAGAGTACAGGTCTTTTACCTCTCTGGTTAGGTTTCCTCTAAGTATTTTATTATTTTTGGTGCAGTTGTAAATGGGATTGTTTTCTTAATTTCTCTTTCTCCTGCTTCATTATTAGGGTATAGAAATGTAGGAGATATCTATACATTGATTTTGTAACACGTGATTTTACTGAATTCATTTGTCAGTTCTATAGTTTTTTGGTGGAGTCTTTAAGGTTTTCTAGATATAGTAGCATATCATCTGCAAATAGTGAAAATTTAACTGCTTCCTTACCAATTTGGATGCTTTTATTTATTTATTTATTTATTTATTTATTTATTGTTGTTGTTGTTGTTGTCTGATTGCCGTGGCTGGGACTTCTAGTACCATGTTGAATAAAAGTGGTGAGAGTCGACATCCTTGTCTTTTTCCTGATATAGGCCTTTATTATAACGAGGTATGTTCCCTGTAAACCTACTTTGTTGAGGGATTGTATCATGAATGAATGTTGTAGTTCGCCAAATGATTTTTCTGCATTTGTTGTAATGATTGCATGGATTTTATCCTTTCTCTTGTTAATGTGATGTATCATGTTGATTGATTTGCAAACATTAAATGGCCCTTGAATCCTGGGAATAAATCCCACTTGATTGTGTTGTATGATTTTTTTAAAATGTATTGTTGGATTCAGTTTGCTAGTATTTTGTTGATGATTTTGGCATCCATGTTCATCAGAGATATTGGCCTATACGTCTCTTTTATCGTGTTTCTTTAAAAAAATTTTATCGTGTTGTGTTAGTCACCATACAACACATTGTTAGTTTTTGATGTAGTGTTCCAAGATTCATTGTTTACATATAACACCCAGTGCTCCATGCAATATGTGCCCTCCTTAATACCCATCACTTGGGCCAACCCATCCCCCCACACCCTTCCCCTTGGAAACCCTCTATTTGTTTCTCGGAGTCCACAATCTGTCATGGTTGTGGTGTTTTTATCTGGTATTGGTATCAGTGTAATACTGGCCTCATAGAATGAATTTGAGAGTTTCCCTTCTTCTTCTATTTTTTGGAATAGTTTGAGGAGAATATGAGTAAGGGGCAGGCAGGGCTAGGTAGCGGGCCATATGATCAGGCTCACCAAAAATCCCAGAAATGCTGAGGCACAGTGAAATCAGAGATAAGGGTACAAATCAGACCACCTTGGCCTGGGCGTCGGAGGTGGGGTCTTTTTATGGCAGTCATATTGTGCACAACAAAGAATAACCAGACCTGAAAGTAGAAGTAAGCCATTAAAGACGTTATCGCCAGTCCTTACTCAAGCCAAGATGTTAGAAGGATGTTAAGGCCACAAGCTCCCTGGTCAATTTGAGATAAAAGCCTGTCGGTGGAGGCCTACGTTGACAAACCTGGTGGGACCCTCCCACTCCTGAGAGCTTTGTCTGTATCCTTACTTAATAAGATTGCTTTGCTCACTCTCCTTTGTCCATGCAATTAATTTTTCGACTCTGTGAGACAAGAACCTAGCTCTCCTGCTTCAAATAGGTATTATCTCAAAAAATGAAAAACAAAAACAAATAGATATTAACTCTTCTTTCAATGTTTGGTAGAATTTGCCTGTGACGTCATCTGGCCCTGGACTTCTGTTTCTCAGGAGTTTGTGGTTACTGATTCAATTTCATTGGGGTAATTGGTCTGTTCAAATTTTCAGTTTCTTCCTGTTTCCAACATGGCAGGGCAACCCAAGCGCTTCAGGTCTGCCTATTTCCTGAAGTCCCAGGCTTCTGTAACAAACAGACTCCCGAGTGTCTCTTCCTGAGGATACCACAGTCAGCATGCTGGAATCCGCCCTTGCAAGGCTGATTGGTCAAGTCTCCCAGGTGTCTCTTAGTGAAGGATATTCCTGCCGCCTGGTAAGCCGCGTCCTTGCAAAGCAGTCCAGACTCTTCCACCTGTACCCTACAGACCAGGCGACATGGTGTGTTCCCAGGCTTCCCCAGAACTTGAGGCTCCCAGGTGCTGCTTTCGGCTGTCTTCTCAGGTCTCTGTGGACGGGCCCTGGCCTGGCAGGGCAAATCCAGGTCCTCTGGGTCTGCCTCAGAAATGAGCCTCAAGAGCTGCCTGCACTCGAAAGCGATTTCTGGTTGCCCGGCCTGGGTCACTGAAAAAGTTCATTCCTGGGGCGCCTGGGTGGCTGAGTGGGTTAAAGCCTCTGCCTTCGGCTCAGGTCATGGTCCCAGGGTCCTGGGACCGAGCCCCACATCGGGCTCTCTGCTCAGCAGGGAACCTGCCTCCTCCTCTCTCTCTCTGCCTGCCTCTCTGCCTACTTGTGATCTCTGTCTGTCAAATAAATAAATAAAATCTTAAAAAAAAAAGTTCATTCCTTGACTCAATAGAAGAAAAGGCCCAAATTCATTGCCAATTCCCTCTTCTCACTGGACGCGCTTCATCTGCACACTTGCATCCTGATGTCCTCGCAGGTCCAGCAGCTCCATGTCGTCCTTGTGTCTGCCCTTGAGTTCCATGACGCTCTCAATCTCATACAGCGACTGGGCCAAGAGGCTGCCCGGGCACTGCTCTCAGTTCACCCTCGCCAGTGCTGCCAGCAGCTTTATGGACTTTAGGCAGACTGCACGAGGTGCTCCCGGCCTTTTCTAGAACTTGAGTCTTCCAGGTGCCCCTTTTAGGTGGGCAGTGTCATACCTAGTATGATCCCGAGTCTTAATTTCTTATTCAAGAAATAAGAATACTGTTGTCTAAATATATCGTATAAAGCACCAGACCCACAATAAACACTCAGCAAATTAGGTTCCATTTCCTTGGGTCTGCTCCCCAGGCCCATGCTCCCCCACCCCTTCCAGGGACTTGAAAATGTGCCCGCACTGGAACCAGGGCTTTAACCATTTATTTGAATCTGTGGTAGTACATGTTTACCTTCCCTCCTGCCACTTTAGAACTTTGTCCGTGTCAACAGGCTTTCCCAGCAGATGAGATATGTACCAAAGGTGCTTATTGATTACTACGAGGCCTACATGGTATAATCTTGGAAAAACAACAAGTAGATTGACATGACTCATTTTAAAACCCAGTATTCATTAATGAATGCCATCCAGTAACGATATTTCTCCATTGTCATGAATTTTTTCAATTTCATCAGGGTCGTACTGGCCCAGAAAAAATATTCATCAGGAAAAGGTTAATTATTAATAGTTGTTACTTGAAAAGAGTATAAAAAGGATTCTTCAATTCTTTGAGATGATAGAGCACCTTCTTTAAAGTTTCATCTGGAACGATGAAGACTCTTAGACCCATATGTTTCCTTGTTTTCTTCAGCTATGTTCAGTGTCAGACTCTTCAGAGAAGTTTACTAGCTGCAGGTAGGGGTCCTGTTTATAATCTACACATCCCTGTACCAGGACATAAGGCATAATGACTACTAAAATGTAGACCAAAATATGGGGAATGGCTTGTCTTCCTCAAAGCTCATCACTGTCAGCAGAGTCATTGGAAATTGCTAGAAACTGGTTTGTGGAAGGGATGCAGAAAGAGAACTAATATATTGAGGCAACACACACAGGAAGATCTCACTTTAGCCTTATTTCCACTCCAGTGAGGGAACGATACATTTCAAACTTGTGTTTGAAACTGGGTAAATGATTTTGGATAAAGCAACTGTGTTCATTGTAGCAGGAATAATACTACGAGCTACATTCTTCAGTACCCATTTGGTGCTAGGTGCTGTGCTCGGTGCTACACTCATATGTTTCCATTTAATCCGAACAACTATCCATCGTGGTAGAGTTTATTTATGTTTTCTAGGTAGAGAAACTAAAACGAGAGCTTAAGCTGTTTTCCTAAGGCCACACTCAGAATCAGAGCTAGAAGTTGAACTCAGAGTAACTGGCTCCAAAGCCTTTCCCTGTAACAGATATGATGATGGTTTCTTTATTTAACAGAAAGCTGCTCAGTTCTTCAGAAGCGGTTAGTAGAAGAAGATACTGTTTTCAGTAGAGAACTTACATGTGTGTCTGTGTGTGTGCCTGTGTGTGCCTGTGTGTGTGTGTGTGTGTGTGTGTGTGTGTGTGTGTGGTGAGTGGAGGTGATAAGAAAGATAAAGTTGATGAGTAAATCCAAAATGGGTGAGATATTGTCTTTGTCAAATGAAGCCTGGCAAAGTGCTAATGTTTATATGTTTGCTTCCAATGCTTTATTACATGAATTACCCCTAATTTTTTTTAGCATTCCTTGGATACGCTAGTAACTTCTAATATAAAGAGTTAAATAACCAAATCATGTTAATTAATTCAGGTGTGTCAACACAAGTACGTGCAACTATTTGTGGGCTAATGCCAGATTTCAAGGACACAATATATTTGAACAGAAGAAATTCATTCACAGAATGCAGTTGAAACACAAGTGAAGATATAGTCTGGCAATTCATTTTAATTCTTGATGGTAAATAAAATAAATCTGGAAATTTATAAGTGAATAAATATGGATAACAGAATTATAAAGGATGATTTCAAATTTGAAAATATCCTCTCATGCAAATAAAATCTTATTTTTTTTTCCAGCCTCGCACCACATTAATAGCCAGAATTACCTGCAGGAGAACTTAAAAGACATGTGAGTTCTGTTATCAATATTCTCTTCTCTGAAATTTGAAATCACAATCATTTTGGAAGGGAGAGGGGGCAGTGATCTAATGATGGTGGAGGAAGAGTTTGATTTCACCTTTAACACTCTCACAAGTGTTATGTTTCAGCACCAGCATCATGGTGGCTCAGTTTCTCCAGAAATTAACTTTTGAAGAAGTACAAACCATAGTCGAAGAGGTGGTAGATCTTGCAGACAAGTGCAAGATCCTCAAGGCACACGAGTCACCATCAGAATGCTCTCACCAGTTGGTAGGTGAATCATGTTTTGTCTTTCTCTTTTTTTAAACTAAAATTCCAACCAAAAGGTGTTGTTATGAAGTGAGATGTTGAAGAATTAGGTAGAGGACTTTAAGGCAACAATACGGACATCAATCACACTCAAAATATAATCTTTGTAAGTTTATAAGCCCAAATTCTTCATTTCATCTCTGGGAGATCAGACTCAGAGAACCAAATGCTCAAGAGAACAGATTACAACCTAGAGGCCAATTTGTTCATTTTAGTTGGTTGCTCTGCCTCTCCCACTGGAATATCACTGTCTGACATCCTCATATAAATGTTCCTGGAAACCAAAATACTAATTTTAAAATGTTTCTAAGAGTATATGAAACAGAAGAAAGAAGTGAATATTATTATGTGCTCTTTCCCTAGTTAGTAGAAAATCTTGGGGATTACTTCTGTCTCATAAAGTATGTGTATCTTACAATGAACAAATTATTCATGAACACTAACATATTTGTGCAATCTACACATTTTTTGGATCACTTGTCTCATACCAAATATTTTAAACTATAAATCAATAGTTTTCTTCTTTATTGGTTAGTTTATTATTATTTTTACTATTCCCTCTCCTTGGGGCTAAAACCTACCTATCTTTTACTAGACTCTTAGTAGACATAGAAAAACCATCAGTCTAATTAGAAGCACATTTTATTTATTTTTTAAAGATATATTTATTTGAGAGGGAGAGAGAGAGAGTGGGGGTAGAGGCAGAGGTAGAGGGAGACAGACTCCTCTAGCAGATTCCCTGGCTGAGTGTGGAGTCTCATGTGGGGCTCCATCCCAGGACCCTGAGGTCATGACCTGAGCCAAAATCCAGAGTCAGATGTTTTAACCGACTGTACCACCCAGATGTTCCTAGAAACACATTGGAAATGAAGTGCCTCTGCCTGTCACTAATCTCAGTTGTTTTATAGTGACCCCTTTTTATTTCTACTTCAAATGATGGGCTTTTTCCTGCCTTTATTCCCTAAATCTGGACATGTATTTTATTTGAGGTTTACCACATCCCACACACTTACTGCCACTCCAAGGTATTTGAAACTAACTGAGTTATTACACTTTCATTTGAACATTTGACACGATATACACTGCCTTAGAGTTCAGCTCTTAAAATAACTTCCTATGGAAACCAAACTAAAAACAAATAGGAAGCAAGGAAATTCAACTTCATTTATTTCTTGGTGGATAGTTACCAAAAAGATCTTGATTTCGTTAGGCTCTGGAATTTTGGCTTATGTTTACTGCCTAGCAACAGCTGTATGAAAATGAATTTGAAATCACAATTATTTTGGAAAGGAGAGAACGGTAAATTCCATTTGGTCCATGTCTAGCATGTGGGAATTTAGACTTAAAAACCTAAAAAACTTTTGCTCAAAAGAACTATGTCCAGGGATTATTAAACGCAGACTGTAAGAGCATGTCCTCAGTGGCCTTTTCTTGATAATAATTCTTTAACTTTCCTAGAAAAGTAGATCACACATGCTTCCCCTTTAAAGTATTATTTCCTCCTGCAGATGTCTACCTTCCTAGAGCACATTTGTAATAACCAAGGAAAGGCTGACAAACAGGAGTTTTCTGACTGTTGCAATATAAATAACAAAGCAAGACTCAAGTGCTTCCTATTATACAAAAAAGATGATGCAAGTTGCAGTGATATATTCCTAATTCCAAATCCTGAGCAGATCTGTGAGATGGATGAAGAGAATCAAGTGTCAGTGAAGGAGAGGTGAGTCATTTCTCCTTGCCATAGGCGCTGCAGAAGAGTGTTTTCCAATTTTGAAGACAGATCTTTTCTTTATATATGGGTCTCTGAGAACACAATGCTTTATTACATGAATTAAGGTAAAAATTTGAGCTACAATATATATTTTGCTCCCTCAGAATGACAGTTACAATCTCAGTGAACCTGACAGGATATGGAAATGTCCATGTGTAGGAAACATTAAAAGTGACTTGGACAAAAAAAAATTTAAAAATAAACTTAAAAAATGACTAGGACAGTGTTAAGGACCCATCTCCTTAATGGTTAGATTAGTCAGACCAGCAGCAAGTGATGCTGAATGGTTCAGCAAGTAAGCAGAGCATAATAAACAGAGTATCAGGGACAGAGAGCAGGTAATAGCTCTGACAAGGGCTGGTATTTGGGAGACTCATCAAGGGATAGAAGTGAAGGCATCTGATAGGGCATGGAGAGAGTCTGTCATTGAGAACATAGGAAGAGGTAACAACTGCAAATTCGACAGACATGAGTTTTCTGCTCATAAATTCTGATTCTATAATTCCCATCTGGAGTGGATAGCATTATAGCAAATGGGTAGGAAAGCTTCCGTTTTGTTTTCTTGGGGAGCACAGAGGTTTACTTGTAAAGAGGTGTGAGCAAGTGGCTTAGGTGTAGAGGCAGGAAACCAATGCTAGATAGGTAGAAATGCTAAGAGAAACAAAAAGCTTCAGTTCTCAAGAAAGGCAATTCTAGCCATCTTATCAAGACAGGCTCAGACAATGGGAATAAGGCAAAGATCTGATTGCTGGTTCTAGAGGGCAAGGAGCATGGTAGTGACTTGATTTCAGGTTTTAGACATGAAACTTTAAACCAGAGATGAGTGAGCAGAGAGGGTGACTTCATGCTGAATATGTAAACTCCTTTCATTCACCCGTGTGGGAGCAGAATTGCCCCAGACATTGCTGAGCCTTCAAGAGGAAATTAATTGGCCCTTGCCACTTAGGTAGAAAGGACTGGGGTACCTGCTAGCACAGTCGGTTAAATGTCCAACTCTTGGTTTCAGTTCAGGTCATGATCTCAGGGTCTGGAGATCAAGCCCAGTGTTGGGTTCTGCGGTCAGAGTGGAGTCTGCTTAAGACTCTCTGCCCCTCCCCCCTGCTTGTGCATGCATGCATGTGTGAGTGTGTGTGTGTGCACATGTGTGTGCCCTCTCCCTTTCTCTCTCTCTCTCTCTTTCAAATAAATAAATAAATCTTAAAAAAAAGAAAAGAGAGGACTAAGGGATGGGAATTGGGCAGGTTCCAACTTGCCTGACATCAGGGGCAACCAAATGGGAACAGAAATAAGACCCAGCTACCTACTCGCTACATTGCTGCTCTAAAGGAGAATTGTAAAATCAGGTTTGGATTGAACATTCAGAGATTATAAAATCTAACCAATACTCAGGCAGTGAATCTAATCTCTTCTGGAATATTTACAATGAAGTCAATATTAGGGAGTTATTTTAAATGCTAATCTTAACTTACATGCAGTCAACTATAAATATTTTCTCATTACTTGTCTCATAATTATAAGGCAACAACCTCATTTAATTCTCAACCAAGGAAACAGTAACATATATCAGAGCTGGGAGGAGAGGTCAGTTCTTTCAGATGTTTCAAAAGAAAGCATAGTCTACAAATACATAAAACCATAGTTACTGGGGTGCCTGGGTGGCTCAGTGGGTTGGGGTCTCTGCCTTCAGCTCAGGTCATGATCCCGGGGTCCTGGGATCGAGCCCCACATTGGGGTCTCTGCTTGGCAGGGAGACTGCCTCCCCCTTTATCTCTGCCTGCCTCTCTGCCTACTTGTGATCTATGTCAAATAAATGAATAAAATCTTTAAAAAAAGACATTGTTACTGTACCTTTGGATTATCTAAGGAATCTTCAATAGCAGTTTTAATTATTGTAAGCTTCTATTGTATGTCTGACTATAGAACCCGACTTTCAATCAAGCATGACCCTATGTTACCTTACAATAGGGACAGTCCATTTTTTAAATGGCTCTAATTATCAGAAAGCTTTTCCTTATACAAAGGTAAACTTTCAAGATTTGAAATTAGATTAGATCATATTGAATATCTTCTAAGGAAACTGTTACTGTAGCACAAAAATGAACTCTTAATTCAGCATACACAATAAAGAACAGAGGTATTGAATGGCTTTGGTGAAATTTCATATTGACCAAGAATTTTGCCTTATGTTGGGAGGCAGGTGTATGTTGATAGTATCAGTTCTGCTGTTCTGTTCTGTTTCTACAAGTTGGGCTTGAGAAACTATGCAGATAAAAGCCTGCTGACTAAACTTCCAGGGGTTTGGGGCCCCTTGGTGAGAATGAAGAGCAGCTTTTTTTGGGAAGCACAGACCTACTTTTCTAAGTCGTGTTAATGAATGATGTTCAGTTCCATTATTTGGTCTGTTCTTTTCCCTCCATCAATTGTGGATGATTTTTTCCTTTATAGGTTTTAATTTAAAAATTTCTTTTTCCCATTCTATCTTATTCCTTTATAGGTTTTTTTATTTTTTTTAAAAATTTTATTTATTTATTTGACAGACAGAGATCACAAGTAGGCAGAGAGGCAGGCAGAGAGAGAGAGGAGGAAGCAGGCTCCCTGCAGAGCAGAGAGCCCGATGTGGGGCTCGATCCCAGGACCCTGGGATCATGACCTGAGCCGAAGGCAGAGGCTTAACCCACTGAGCCACCCAGGCACCCCTCCTTTATAGGTTTTTAAAAAAGCAAAAGTAATAATCCCAGGATAAGCGAACTTTAGTGTGATAGCAAATAACCTCTAATTTAAGCAGCTCAATATAACAAAAGTTTTTTTTTTTCTTCTCCCACTCGTGCTATCTGTCCAGCATAGACTGTATAGGAGGTCTCCTTATCATCGTCACTTAGGGACTTAGGTTGACAAAGACACCATCTCAACCCTTGCTTCTTTGATTACTATGGCAAGGGAAGGGGACACTAGTAAATCACGCACTGCTTCTTAAGCTTGTTTAGAAACAACATTCATCATATCTTCTCATACATCATTAACCAGCAAGTCACACTGTCAGACCTCACCTCATGAGGAGGGGTGCGAATGCGCAATGCTACCATTTGCCTGAAGGGAGGGGAGTTGGAAATCTCTGATAAACAACTCTAATGGCCACCACCTCAGTGGTCATCCACCCACAAGAAAATATTTTGTACTTTTAACGGAAAGGAAATGTTACCACAGGATTGCTACACACCAGTTGTTAGATAAAGTCTCTGTTAATGTTTGGTTAGTGCTTCAGGTCTCCTGCAAATCTCTTGTCTTTTGTTATGGCACCACCATTCCCTATCTGGTCAGAGAGTAGCAAGAAATACTCTTCTGATGAAGTCAGATATGGGTATTGACCCCAGAAACTCTAGTCACCTTCATGGATGGGATTTTCTCTTTTAGACTCTGCAGCACTCAGGGATTTCTATTAAAATATTTTTAACATTTCCTTGGCTATTCGTCATGAGATATAATTTAATTGTTCCAGAGAAGGCGATAGTAACAATTTTTCTTTTGAATTCAGTGGTTTCTGCACCTGTATCCTTCTCTGGGATCCCAAAAGGACTTGGAATTAGGTCCCAAAGGAGCAGGCATACAGATATGTGTTGTATGTATTGTCCAAGGAATAGGGGAGTGGGGGAAAGTTAAAACATGAAGCAAGTTCCTATTCTATCAATTCCTCCATTATCCTTTCAGTGTTGAAAACCTGATTTTCTGAGGTCACCATTTTTCTGGTAATATTGGCCTACTTTACAAATACTACATATTAAACTTGCATTAGGGATAGTACTATGATCATTAGGATGGACTAAGCTATGCTGCGGTCGCAAGGAAATCCTAAATTTATGAATAAATCCTAAAATCCTAAATTTTGGCTGAATTCAGTAAAGATTTATTTCTTTTTCATATCATAGTCTAAATTGGGTCATTCCCTTTGGTGACTCTTGAAGAGTCTGGCTCCTGGTTGAATCCTGGGCATGAATTTTTTTTTCCAGGCCTGACAATAGGCAATTATGGATGACAGGCCTCTGTGGGGCAAGCTGCCCTTCCCACAGCAGAATGGGGCAAAACACATGTCAGTCTCTGAAGGAGCATCATCAAGGGCTCAGTCCTCCCCCGATACCCACCCTGTTTTCGTGCATAGCTTCATTCCTAGACCAGGGTCCTCTGCTGAGACTTCCTAATTGGGGGAATGGAGGGAGAAACTTGGACATACTTCTATGCACTTTGGCTCAGCACTCAGGGCTTTCCCACTCCTGGCCTTTTCCCCTCTCCTTCCCCCTGCCCCAGGGTCCTTGAAACCAACAGGAGCCTTTTGTTTGGGAACCTTCAGGAGGAAGCCATCCCCAAGTCTGTAGTGCTCTACTGGGTCCTCAGCTGGTCAGGACCCTGGGGGGCAAGTGGACAGGGGGAGAGGGTGGGTAGTCGACACTCTCTCCAGTTTAACCTCTTGCTCATATTATCCTAGTAAGTGACTAAAGTCTTGAGTGTTTCTTTCATTTTGTTTTCATTGGCTACTCTGACACTTGGCCTCTCATCGCTCTCTAACTGGCCTCAGCTCCTGACAATTCTCCTCCAAGGGGTAACTCGAGATTGCAAGATGTTCCCATCTCTGTATTATCTGAAGCCTGTGTTTCCCAGGTCACTGAGAAACAGAAAAAGAGCAGGAAATGTGCAGAGACATTAATAGCCACACCTCAAAGTGGTGCGGAGGACACTCATTCATTCAGGACATTTTATCATCCAGAACTCAGTAACATGTTCTCAACCTAACTGCAGGGGAGTCTGGAAAAGGAGCGTCCCTGTGCCCACAGGAAAAGAAAATGGGTTTCTGTGAGCCTTGAGCCAGTTTTTGCCTGTAATGTCATCTTGTTCAGTATTTTTGCATGTGGGTCTGTGGGGTCTTTTGAACAAGCTTTGCAAAAGTAGGAGGAGATATGTATTATAAGTGAAAGGCAGACCTGATGTCTAGGCTCTACGAGTGTGAGGAATGAATGAACTAGAGAGGAAAAGAAAGACAGAGGACTTAGTCTCAGACCAAAATATTGAGGGGCACATCTTGGAGAACAATGACAGAAGTTCTAGAAAGAATTTCTGGATGTTCTTGAGAGGAGATCATCCTCTCCCCTAATAGCTTCTAAATTTTATCCTCCTGCACCCGCTGCACAATCCCGTGTTTACAATTCAGATTGGACTACTGAACTTTCTTTCTTATGTAGAAAGGACAAGTTTTAGTTACTTTTTCTTTCCCCACCAGCCTGGAAGTTAGGGTTGTTCACTTCATGGGCATTCAGTGAACGTCTGACTACACAGTGATCTGTTCAGAGTGACATGAACGTGCGATGTGTTTACGTATCACGCTACCCCATCTCTTTTACCATGAGATTCTAGAAGTTCAGGTCCACAAAACTGGATGAAGAAACAATGTTGGCACATGTTCTTGAATTCTAAATTACACAACTATGTATTTGCCAAATTACAGGTACATTTATGAAATGTCTCGAAAGCATCCGTTCTTGTACGGACCCACAATTCTGACCATGTCTGCTTGCTATGAAACAGCTATCCAGTCATGCTGTCAAGAAAGAAATAAAACTGAATGCCTCCAGATAAAGGTAAAATATTCATATGTCAACTGTTATTTAGAATCTTGCTCTGCAGAGTATGGACTGTGGACCAACAGCACAGGCCATGGGGAGAGCATTGGAAATGCAGAATCTGAGGCTCTTCTCCAGACCTACTAAATAAGATGTTATTGTAATGAGATACTGAGGCAATTCATATTGTTATTATAATTTGAAAAGTGTGATTTAGCATAGACATTACTTCATCATATATATCTGATATTCAAGTTATTATTGTTGCATATCAAAACACCCCAAAATTTATTAATTCAAGCCAACAATAATCATTTCACTAGCTCTCATGATTTCTGTGGGTCAGGAGTTCAGGAAGGGCTCATCTGGGCAGTTCTGGCTCATGCTCTTTCTTGTGGTTGCAGTCAGATAATGGCTGGCTCTAGGACTCTGGGGGACTGAAGCTCCTGGGGGCTAGTTCAACATCGCTTTCTTCTCATAGAATCTCAGGGCCTCTCCATGTGGTCTCTCTGCCTTGGCTATAGCTTGGGCTTCCTCACAGCATGGTAGCTCCAGGGCAGCTGGATTGCTTACGTATGGCCAAAGTCTTCAAGAATGCATATTCTAGTTGTATGGCCTTTTTATGAGCTAGCCTCAGAAATTACTTCTGTCACAGGCTGTTGGTTGAAACACTATAAAACCACGGGGCACCTGGGTGGCTCAGTGGTTTAAAGCCTCTGCCTTCGGCTCAGGTCATGATCTCAGGGTCCTGGGATGGAGCCCCGCATCGGGAATCTCTCCTCAGCAGGGAGCCTGCTTCCTCCTCTCTCTCTCTGCCTGCCTCTCTGCCTCCTTGTGATCTCTGTCAAATAAATAAATAAAATCTTAAAAAAAAAACACTATAAAACCTCACTGGTTGGAAAGGGTTAGTATATATACTATGCTTCTTGATGGGAAGATTGTCGAAGTCTCATTGTAAGAAGATAGAAGCTATAGCTTCAGCCGTCTTTGGAAAATACAATCTATCACATTTAACTTTAACCATGTAGCCTTTTCTCTTTCACTGAAGAGACATAAATCAGTGATTAGTTCTATGATTAAAGTACTTTTCATGCATGTTCATTAAAGGTTTTAAATACCAACATAAAACGACCATTTTTAGAGAGGGCACCAGGTGAATTTTCCAAAGGTTGTCCTGAAATGAGTAGTAGTTTGATGATCATTTTGATGAATCCCTCAAGACTAAATGCAGAGCCGTTTTATTCTTACTGTTTTCTTTGATCTTTTCAGTGCAGATTTATCTCATATTCTCCAAAACCCCTATTTCTCTATTCCTCCAAACCTATTTTTCCTATTGAGGTCCTCAGCATCTACCTTGAGTAAGAAATTAATGTATCTAAAGAGCTTCTGGCATATGCTCAGTACTCAATAATTATAGCTATTATCATTAAAGATATCATTATCATATATGTGTGTATATATATATAGATATATAACCTCCCTCTCCATTTGTCCCCTGGTGACTGCTTCAGAAGTCAATTCTGAATTCCTAAGCAGGAGAGTCTTTTTTTTTTTTCCTTTTAGGTTTGTGTTAATTAAAAACAGAAAAACAAATGATCATGCTGACTTATATCTCATTACTTCACACTTCTGAAGAATGAAACTCTTTGTGAAGGTTAACTTTTTTTAAAGTAACTTGTGCTTACTCTTTTAAGTTACAAAGTTTTCTTATTCTCAGCCCTTCTCAGTGGAGAATTTCCCTTAATGTGTAATATGCCCTTATAAAGTTAGCCAAGAGTTCTTCCCTCTCCTACCCAACTTTATGATCTCTACAGTATTGCTGCTTCCAGGATGCCTATTCCTAATAGTTCTTGCTTCTTTCTCAGAGAAAATAACATAACCAAGGGTATAAAAATTGTGCCTATGATCAGAGAACGTGGTTTATGAGTTAAGTCTTCAGAGGCTCTTGAAGAAGTAGACAACTTGTTTGTACTAGATTTTAAATGAGTATACTATAACAAAATCAGGATTAAAGTAATAATTATATTTAATTAATTATAAAATATAATTAGTTATATTTAATAACAATTACTAAATTAAAATTTAATTATTGTGCTAGTTTTGTGGTTTGAATATTGCCTTTGTATATATTTCTTGACTTATTCTTAAAAATAGCACTGTAAGGTACAATTAGCCAAAATAAAAATAACCTATGGTCATTATAGAGTTTTAAGTCAAAATATAGAGCTGTTCCGAGATTTTAAAATATTACTAATATTCCCAGTACACAGAGATACCAACTTTAGTGTATTTCCTTTTATTCATTTTTCCATTCACAGATTTTATTTTGTACATTGTCATGATCACACTGAATATATAGTTTTTTTTTTAAAGATTTTATTTTTATTTATTTGACAGAGAGAGAGAGATCACAAGGAGGCAGAGAGGCAGGCAGAGAGAGAGAGGAGGAAGCAGGCTCCCTGCTGAGCAGAGATCCCGATGTGGGGCTCGATCCCAGGACCCTGAGATCATGACCTGAGCCGAAGGCAGAGGCTTTAACCCACTGAGCCACCCAGGCGCCCCTGAATATATAGTTTTGATTCGAGATTTAAACATGCCCACTTTTTATTGGAAGTATACAACTTGTCAGAATTAATGTGCTATTATTTATTTTACCATCACTCTATTGAGACATTTTATTTGTCTCCAAAATTTTGCCATCGTAACAAAACATGCATGTTCTTCTTTTTGCATAATTATGTTTTTACTTATGTAGAAGAATTTATTCACAATAGTTTCCAAAGTAAAAATCCTGGATTAAAAACTATGAATATATTGGGGGAGGGTGACTTCATTAATGTATTTCGCAAAACTGGAGCATGTATTGTAGATAAGCAATAGAAAACGTGTCCAAGATGACAGCTAGTAACTTGAATAAAAACAAATACAGCTGTAAGACATCATTGAAATTTATTCTTGTGGCTCTCTGGACTTCTGTTTCCTCGATTTCATGTATTCTTTTTATTCCAAAAGTTTGAGGTTTTAGAGGAAGTGGTCTCTGGGAAGTAAGATGCTATTTTATAAAACAAAGAAACAAACAAAACAAACCACACTGTGCTTTTGCATTTGGTCTCTTTTAAACAAGAAATAAAGATTTTCTAATTTTGAGGGGATAAACAATTTTTATTTTTCTTTCTTGTTTACTAATGACAAGAGTGATTTTTCTGTTACAACCACATTTCTTTGATGAGTTGTTTTTCTAATTACAGCTAGAACCCATCAAAAAATACATTAAAGAAATATCTTTGAGGCATCACCATTTGTGTGAAATTGGGATTAAGTTCAAGCACCAAGTAGCAAAAGCAGTGTAAGTTACTGATTGAGATACGTGAACCCTGTGGCTGTTGGGTCACCCCATTTGATCAAACTCATTTGAAAAATCACTTTTCTTTCATTTAATAATATCTCTCAATGCAAACCTGGTTCCTTTCTGCACACGAATGCTACTTGCCTGCTCAACAGGGCACACATCGCTGGGCTTGAAACCGCACAATCCTCATCTCTACCCAATGTCTCCTGCCTCAGTTTCTTCCATCTGCTCAGATCCCTAATCTCTGTGTTAGTGCACAAAAGATTCTGTACATGAATATGTAAGCACTTAATTGTTCCACATGACAAAGGCTGGCGGACCAAGTGTATTCTTTTCTCTGGGAGGGTAGAAAAGGTTTTGGCTCCCCATGTTATGCAGAACAGAAAAACCTAGTGGTGTTTTTTGGTAGGGATGGAAGAATGTGGAATGAGGAGAATTTGATATTACTCAGTGTGCCTCTTTCCTGGCCCAGATTATATTTCTGTCCAAGTTTGCCTGTGAAGGGATGTGTCCTTCCTTCTGTCACCTTCTTGCCCAGTCTGGGACAGCACTGGGCTGGATGGAAGCTTCGCACTGTTTATAAGACAGGCCCGTTTTCCCTATTGTTGGAGAAATTTGGAGGATGTTGTTCGGTTGTCAATGGGAGAAGCGAGGGAGACCCAAGACTCTTAGAATTATTGTCTTTATGATGAAGAATTTTACTTGGAGAGTCAGGTCAGGTAAAATTTCAAATTGCCCATTAAAACAACTCAGCTTCATTAAGTGATCATTTCAATATTGAAAAGTTTGAATATTTTGCATAATTATGAATTGAATGGCATTTGTTTTGTGATTTAGATTTTGGTGTGGCTCTGAGTGTTATCCTCAAAGAAATAGGAGGCATTTAAAATATACTCTCTTTCTCCTACATCTGCAAATGCGTTTCTATTATTTTGGTTACCCAATGAACTTGAACTGATTTTAGAAAGGATTGAATTCAAAATATGGTTAAAGAAGTACTTACTTTTCTTTTCAGGGAATTGGTTCTGCTGACTAAAAAACTACCAGAAGGTAACTTCTCTGAAATTGCCAGGCTGGCTGTGGATACACAAAATCTACATCAGGCCTGTTGCGAAGGAGACGTCGTCACATGTGTACTCGGCAGGGTGAGAGCCTCTCCTTTCTTAAAACTCACTTCAGCCTTGAAAACACTTGCAATTCTTTTTTTTTTTTTTTTTTTAAGATTTTATGTATTTGACAAAGGGGGGCAGCACAAGCAGGGGGAGGGGAAGAGGGAGAAGCAGGCTCCCCGCTGAGCAGGTGTTCCCAACATGGGGCTCAATTCCAGGAACCTGGGATCGTGACTTCAGCTAAAGACAGATGCTTAACCGGCTGAGCCACCCAGGTGTCCCCAAACTTGCAATTCTTAAGGAAAGGTGACCATGGTATGGAATGAATCTAAAATAAAGTCATGAGCATTTCTTAGTCTTACCAGTAGAATAATCAGTAATGTCTCCCGTCTTGTCTTGTTCCAGCTCAGGCAATGATTTTCTTCCTCCTTCTCCCCTCCCTCCCCATTTTTCTCCCTCCATCCCTCCTTTCTTTCCTTTCTTCCTTACTTATCCTTTCTTCACTTTATTCTGTTATTCTTTAATTTTTAGAGTTGACCTCTAATTTCCTTCCAAGTTTATATTTCACTCACCTTAGAATCCCAAGCAAGTCCCCAAACTGCAACCCAGACCCCCAGGCCACTTCAGCCTGGAAGAAAAAAAGAAGCATGAAGACAAAGATGTGGGCCTGGGGTTTGGGGTCATGAACACCACAGAATTCACCTTCCCCTCATCCAAGTGTAAGTTCTCTAAATTCCAGAGAAGGAAAAATAGTAACTGTCAAAAACCTGATGAAGCTTTAGTAAATCACAGGTTACAAGTCATGTTCCTACCCATTCTGCAAGTTAGAAAATTGAATAATTGTCATCATGATAAATAAAACCCAGGGACAAAGAAGGACTAGTATCATAATTTCATGGGGATGTCCATGACTCTTATGGACAGAAGCCCCCACCTTCAGCTATTTTAGTCCCATTCCATGAAAGATTAAGGGATATGACTAACTATGGGAATGAAAACAGAAAGTCATCACACAGACACTCAGTCTAGACGGATTCTACGTCCCCAACTATTTACTTTGCTGGAACAGAGTTGGGGGCGGACCACAGCTCTTCTCTGGTCCCTCTTGTGGTTGTCAAGTCAGTGACACACTCAGTCCCACCGTTGAGAAGGGTGGGCGCGGCCAGTGCCCCTTCCTACCTGGAGATGGGCAGTATAATGTCTTTGAGCTTTTCTCTGTATGGCAGGAATGCCAACTAGTGCTGGAAGGAGCAGTCCCCTATATACTTAGAAGAAGTCCTGGCTTTTCAGGACAGGCTATTAGAATGTTATTTGTGTGAAGATTAGGTAAACTTGGGGAAAAGTAAAGAGAAAATGGGGGCCTGACTGACTCAATCATAATTGAAACAAAACAAAGCAAAATCTCTAATATCCTTTAGCACATAAACAATACCTATGCCCGCAACTCCATTTAAAATCCTACACCATGTCAGGAACCCCAGAACAATCATTAATGAGTTCATTGTGTTGGCTAGTATTCACAAACAATATAAAATAACTATAAATGATTCTAGCATTCCCGTCTTGGTCCAGACTTTCATGGAAACAGGTTTAAAGTTGCAGACTTGAGAAAGATACTGTGTATGTGTTAAGAGATTTTTCATTCTTATTTTAGAGTTTTTTTAAGAAAGATTTTATTTATTTATTTATTTATTTGAGAGAGAGCATGCACATGAAGTGGGGTATAGAGGAAGAATCTCAAGCAGACTCTGCGGTGAGCACAGAGCCCAATAAGAGGTTGGATCTCATGACCCTGAGATCATGAGCTGCGCTGAAATCAAGAGTCCCACACTTAACCAACTGAGCCACCCAGGTGTCCTGAGGTGGTTTTGTTTTTTATTAGGATGGATTCTTAACATTAGTAAATGTTCTTCTGTTTTCTTAGGATCACCATTTGACTTCCATATAACTTATTCATTGGTGAATCATATTAAAAGACTTCTTAATTTTTAACCATCTTTAGACTGCTTATACCCATCTCATTTTGCTATATTTCTGGATTTTATATATACATAATTTTCAAATTTTCGCATTTGTGTTTACATGAACTTTCAGGTTTTGCTATTCAGTTATGCTACCTTCCAAAAATTGCACTGTTTTTCCTTTCAAAATCTCTGAAATAATGTAACAGTATTGAGAATGGCCTGTTTTGTGAAGGTTTGAAAGAACTTGTCCATGAAACTGCAGCAGGGATTGAGACAGAAACCAGTGGGACAGTTTTCCATTTCTTTTGCTATAGATTTATTTTGACATTTTTCAATCCATCCTCACTACTTATTAATTCAGTGCTTGTGAATTCACCTGTTTCCAACATTTATCCGTAACCCCCAAGTCAATCCTCATGGCACTTTGTGGGTTGTCCGCGGACTTGGGCACGCTCAGAGCAGTGGAGAATTTGGGTTGCTTGACACCCATATTCCCAGCTGGGAGGGAACATGACAAGGCTCTGCCTTCTTGTTTTAGCTCTCGTACTATAAATAAGTATCCTTTCTGCAGTCTAGTGCCACGTTTTCCACATTTTTGTGTTTTTTTGTTGGTGAGTTAGCTGTTTGAAATGGCCCCCAAGCATAGTCCTAGGGTGCTCTCTGGGGTTCCTAAACACAGAAAAGCCATGATATGCTTTATGGAGAAAATAATGTGTTAGACATATTAGTTCAACATTAATAAATCAATAATATATATTAAATAAGGGGTCTTTAAAAAGAAACACACATAGCACAAGGTTAGGTCTTGATCTGTTGATGACACAAATGTGACCAGAAACTTGCAAGGAACTAATCCTGGATTCCCCTAGGGCTGAAGAGTCAGTATTCACAAATTCAGTGAATTTATAACTATTGTGACTAATGAGCATCAACTGCACCATTTTTTGGTCAGATTTTATAATACACATTTTTAAAATAAAGTCTCCTTTATCAGCATTTTCTCATTTAGGTATTGAGTTCTAAATAATAATATTATTATTTGATAATTAAAAACATAAAGTATGTAATTATGCTTCCTTTTCTCCTTGTATTTGCATATTCTCCTTTATTTAATTAGCCTTGGAAAGATCCTATTTAATGTCTTGGTCTTCTCCAAGGCAAAGTTCTTGGATTTATTTATTAATTTGTTAATAAATAAATATTAATATTAATTTATTAATTTATTAATACTAGGTTTCTACTTTTAATTTTATTAGTTCTCTCAGGTTTGTTTAACTGTTTTTTTTGTTGTTGTTATAAACATAATTGTTTAGTGGACATCCATGAATTTGATACCCAACACAAGGACTAAAACATTCCCAGTCATTTATATTATAATTGTAAATTTCCATTATTGTTCATGCTTTCTGTTCAGCTGTTTTTATTTCAGTTGTTTGGGTTGACTTCTTAGTTTTTTGTACTATTTCTTTTTTAATAACATTGTTAACCAGAATGGTTTCAGTTGAACTATCACTTCTTTAATACACTGTATTCTACTATTTATTTATTTATTCATTAAAAAAGTTTTAATTCCTGTATCATTAACATAGTGTTATGTCAGTTTCAGGTCTTCAATGTACTGATGCAGCAGTTCTGTGCATTGCTCAGTGCTCATCATGAGAAGCACATCCTTTCTACTGTTTATTTTTCATATTGGTTTAATTCTCTTATTATTAGAGTATTCCTCCTAATGCTTTTAGGAATGGTGTATGGATGATATGCCTTTGAATGGTGTGTCCTGGAAAGTTTCCTAAACACTTATCAGTGCTTATATCATTCCATGTGAGGCTTCACAATATCACACCCAATTCAAGAAGCACACAATCTTTATAATACATGTCAATTTTTAATACCAAATGTGCAAATTAATAGGGCTTATATCACTCAGTCAACATCATTCAATTTTATGTTGTAGGGTTCTCTTTTTTTTTACTTCAAGACACTATTAGACCAATATTCTAGGGTTGTATAATAATTGTTATAGTACAAAACTTGAAAATGATTTCTATATGTCAGCCACTAATTCTAAGCATTTCACTTTTATTCAAGAAATACTTTTATAGTACTTAAGCTGGGCCAGGCTCTTTTCTTTGTTCCTAATAATTATTAATATGCTTTGTTCCCACAACCTTAGGAAGTATTACTTTAACCCCATGTTATTGATGAGGAAAATCGAGGCATCAAGAGACAAAGCAGCTTGCCTAGGTCACAAAGGTGGGAAGTAGCGAGGTCAAGATTAGAACTCAGGAAGTCTGACTTCAGAGCCAAAGCTGTCAACCACTGCACTCATTTATTTTTCCAGTGATGATGGCAAAGGTGTGTCTAGAAGATGATAGTGGTGGGAGAAGTTTTTCATTTACCTGGGATATCTGTATTCTCACAATTTCTTTCATCAATTTTCTTCCCGTCTTCTACTACCCTTTAAAAATTGATATTCCCAATTGATCTGTTCTTGGCCTTTTCCTTTTTTATTTTACACATATACTCTGAGATGAATGGCCTTCGGTTTCAGGAGTAGAATTCAGTGGTTCATCACTTACGCTCATCACAAGTGCCTTCTTTAATAACCCATCACCCTCCTAGCCCATTCTCCACCCATCTCCCCTCCATCAACCCTCAAAATGAAGTTTGTTTTATGGTTTGCCTCTCTCCCCCGCCCCCGTTTATCTGTTTCATTTCTTAAATTCCACACATGAGTGAAATCATGTGGTACTTGTCTTTCTCTGACTGACTAATTTCTTTTAGCATAATACCCTCTAGCTCCATCCATGTCGTTACAAATGACAAGATTTCATTCTTTTGATGACTGAGTAATATTCCGTTGCATATATACCACCTCTCTTTAGCCATTCGTCAGTCAGTGGACACTGGGCTGCTTCCACAGTTCGGCTGTAGTAAATAATGCTACTGTGAATGTTGGGGTGCATGAGCCCCTTCGAGTTAGTATATTTGTATTCTTTGGGTAAATACATAGAAGGGCACTTGCCGGATGGTAGGGTGGTGCTATTTTTAACTTTCTGAAGAAGCTCCACACTGTTTTCCAGAGTAAGCCCCATCCATCATTTCTCAACTACAGTTTTTCAGTAACCCCCAAATATCCTATATACCATTTCCTCAAATATATCATATAATCTCACTTCCAGGATTTTCTTATATATAAAGATGAATAATTTTGAAATGTTCTTCTTCATTAGTTTCCAAGTAACTTTTATTTGTCCTTCAGGACTAAATTGTTTAACATCTTCACTCTGACCTCCAGCCACCCTGGATTGCCAATCTCTTTTCTTTCAAAGTATCACATATGCACTTCTCCTACAACTTTTCCTACAACTTCTGTTATACTGTATTGCAATCGTTAATTATTTTATTCTCCAATTAGATTGTGAGTTTCTTAAGTGTAGAGATTAAGTTTTTCACACACATGTAATTATTTGTGTATGTGTGTATAAGTAAATATGTTAAATATGTAAGCATAATAGTAATATTATAGTAATCTATGTGGTAAATGGCAGAGAAAAAATGTTTTCCACACTGGAATCCTAAAACAGTAACAACAATAGCAGGACAATAAAACTCTGCATTATATCTTGTGGGGCTAACCATGGAAAAATACTATAGTCTGTCTCCCCTTCAGTTCCTTAAGAGATGAGAAAGGAGCTTGTGACCCTTGAGTGAGGTCAAATAGAGAAGCCTTCTTTATTAGAGCGAGTCACTAGATACATGACGTTTTTGGTCTCTTACTCAGTTTCCCAAAGATAAAGCGATAGAAGATGTCAAGTTTTTCTCTGGTTTTCTGGTAGTAACAATAAAAATAAACAAGTGCAGAATGAGGTCATCAAACACCAAACTCTTTTTGATGTTTCGTAGAGCCAGCTTATGAACTATACCTGCTCCAAACAGCTGAGCCTCTCCAGCAAAATCAGTCCGTGCTGTGCACAGCCGGCGCCGTTCCGAGGGGAGTGTGTGATCAGCTCAGAAAACGAGCAGAAGCCTCACCTTGCATCCTTGCCACTCGGCAGATTTACAGAAGACCGATCTGTGTGTGAACAATTCTCCCACGAGCCAGATGATTTCCTGCAAGAGTAATACAGATTTTTGTAAAATCTTCACAATGGAATACTATATTTATGGATTTGGGGGAAGGGTTGTAGACTTGAATGATGACAGAGGCTAGCCCATAAATGTAAATGGTGACTCAGATTGTTCAAGAGGAGATGCTTGGTGGAGTCGAACCTACTTACACTGCCCCAGCCACTGGTTAGCATATGGGAATGCAGGCTTGGGCTGGTTGGGTCTACTGCATTTTTATTTTATTTTATTTTTTAAATTTAAATTCAATTAATTAACATATAAATGTACTATTAGTTTCAGAGGTAGAGGTCAGTGATTCATTAGTCTTCTATAACACCCAGTGCTCATCACATCATGTGTCCTCCTTAATGTCCCTCACCCAACTAACCCATCCCCCCACTCCCCTCCCTTCCAGCAACCCTCAGTGTGTTTCCCATGATTAAGAGTCTCTTATGGTTTGTCTCCCTTTCTGATTTCATCTTAGAGATTATTTTTCTTTCCCTTTTCCTATGATCCTCTGTTTTTTTTTCTTAAATTCCACATAGGAATGAGATCATATGATAATTGTCTTTCTCTGATTGACTTATTTCGCTTAGAATAATACCCGCTAGTTCCATCCATGTTGTTGCAAATGGCAAGTAGTATTCGACTGTGTGTGTGTGTGTGTGTGTGTGTGTATCACATATATATCCATTCATCTGTTGATGGACAGCTGGGCTCTTTCCACAGTTTGGCTATTGTGGACATTGATGCTGTAAACATTGGGGTGCGGGTTCCCCTTCGGGTAACTATGTTTGTATGTTTGGAGTAAATACTTAGTAGTGCAATTGCTGGGTCATAGGGTCTACTGCATTTTTTTTTTTAAGATTTTATTTATTTATTTGAGAGAGAGACAGTAAGAGGGAGCATGAAAGGGGAGGTCAGAGGGTAAAGCAGACTCCCCTTAGAGCTGGGAGCCCGATGTGGGACTCGATTCCGGGACTCCAGGATCATGACCTGAGCTTAAGGCAGTTGCTTAACCAACTGAGCCACCCACATGCCCGGCTCTACTGCATTTTGAAAGAAGCTGGAAGCTGCTTGATTTTTAAGTGTTGACAACTAATACAGAATTTTTAAAAACACAATGAGGATCAAGTGTTTGCAAACTTTGCTCCAAGGTATTCATCCCTAAGGAGGGCTTCAGATTGGTAGACCTGGTGAGCGCTTCTATTCTAATTAATTTAATACCTATTACCAAAGCTGTGGCGTAGCACTTAAAGATTAGATTGATGGAATATTAACATCTCAGGTGTCCATTCCAAAATGCATATTAACTTGTGCAAGACAAACCGATTTCAATATGCAATATTAAAACAATACTGCTGTGTGATTGAAGTATTTCCAAAGTCACTTTGTGAAGCCTTATTTGGAGCAATTAAACTCCAGCAAAGCAAAAGAATTTGAGTTTTCTCCAAAGCTCTTTGTAGAATAACGAGCTATATTCTGAAATTACATTTGATATGGCTTATGAAAGTAAATGTGACTGCCTGAACCCACTCATTCCTCAACTTGCATTTGGTACTGGAAAAGTTGATAGGCACAACTTCCGGGTGGAAATCACATTAAGCTATTAGTTGGGAGACCAGAGTGCAAAAGACTAGCTTTGTCATGCATAAACTTTGGAATGTAGGTCAAGCCACTTAATTTCCTTAGGCTCTTGTGTTCCAGCTACTAACTGAGGGGTTGGATAAGATCACTTGGAAGGTGCCTCCTGCTACTCTGTGATTCCTTTGTAAACATTCGAGGGTCCAAATTCTTTTTTGTGACCCAGAAGAATGTGTACATTATGCTTGAACCACTCAAGCTTCAAAGTTTAGCTGGAAAAGAGGGGAAGATGATGATTTAAGACCTAGCTAGCACTTTCTATCAAAAAAAAATTCCAATACTTATAAAATCTAGCCTCCAAGGTGATTGAGAAAAATGTGCTCTCATCCAAACACTGGAAATTAATTTCTCATAAAAGTAAGTTAGTGACCCTGAACCAGAAACGATCAGCTAATCAGATTGTCTTAGTTTCAAGTTCTGAACCTGACCCCACTCCTGTGAGACTTTGGAAAAATCAAGTAATTTTATTGATTCTATTTCCTTACCTCAAAATGTAGTCAATTAAACCTCCCTGCCATCCTCCCCAAGTTTCCAAATGTCTAAAAATCAGTGAAAATATTGAATAAGTTTCATAGTCGTAAGTGGGTTCTGAAAGAAAATTCATGACTTCTGAATTTTACTGTTAACTTTCTACTATGTTTCATATGGGTGGATACAGGTTTCTTTATGAATATTCAAGAAGACACTCAGAATTGGCAGTTCCTGTGATTTTAAGAGTGGATACGGTCTATCAAAATTTATTGGCAAATTGCTGTAAATTAGAAAATCCTCTGGAATGCTATAGCCGTGGGGTAAATGCCTTTTTATTTTTTAACTTGTTACTCGCAAGTGATTACCAACATAGGAAAAATTCCAGAGATGTTGGTAGTGCCATATTTTATATAAAATGATTGTGCATCTTCTTGCTAATCACCATGCTGCACAACAAATATGATATTCATCTAAACTGAAGGCCACATCATCACACCGCAGCAGCTTTCTATGTGAGTCACTGTCTTACAGATTCAATGCTTCATGAAACCTTCTCTGTGCAATCTTCTCTTTTAATGAGTGTCCACTGGGCACCGAAGCAAATGGCAGGCAAGCCCAGCATATTAGGGTATGAGAAGGTTGACTATTTCCACTCAGCAGTCCTGGAAACTGTCCCGCCCGGTCTCAGGCCAGAAGTCATACTGTTCACAGGCAGCAGCTGTTGGTGCATGTGACATGGAAAAAGCAGGTGACCTTATGTCCCTGACCCGATGATCACTTATCCATGGATTACCAGGAACCAGGTGGTTCTGGCTTCTTAGAAGGCTTACACATTTACAGAGGGTGGGGTAGTGGTACAGGTAGAGCCCAGTCCTGTCTGGGCTCAGGCACATACATCTATCACCTTTCTGTTCCCAGAAAGAAGGAGCAGTGAAGTTAATTTGTTCCCCTGTGGCTGAGCACCCCTTTGCAGCATCCCCACTAGACCCCCACAATAATCATCATGATAATAGCACCTTACAGGAGCATGGATGTTTCGAGTTCACAAAGCAGCTTTACAACCAGTGTCCTATTTGATTGTCACACCAGCACAGTAACATAGGCCATGCCAGAATTATTAACGGCATCTTATAGGTGAGAGTATTCGGTTAGGGTTTAAAAGACTTGCCCAACTTCACACAGACAGTAAGGACAAGGCTAAGGGCTAAATCTAGGCAAACAGTTTGCAAATCTGGTAAAATTTTCACTGTAACAAACACTGCTCAGTAAGATCAAGTACACTGGGTCAGATTAGTTAAGATGATAACCTGTCTTCCTACTGAAAAACTAAGCCTGAAAGGTCACTTGTATTTTCCCACTGGAATTTTATGTACACAGTTGAAGAACTCTTTGAACTAGCAGTTAGCTCTGAGAATTCCATTTGCTTCGCTTCAATGTGTATTTGTGGAGTACTTTACTATATTAAAGGCTGCTACATGTTTTTATTAAACAGTGACTTAATACATATCTATATTTCTATGCCAATATCTTATCTATGTATCTGTGCTGCTTATGTAAAAAGGCTGTATTATTAAATATAACCAACACACTCTGACCAATCAAACTTAGATCTGTAAACTACCTTTAAAGATCTCTTTGGCTTGATGAATGATTTGCCTTATGCTTATAAAATACACCGTATCAACCCACAAATGAGTTTGTATCACCAGAAACTAAGTATCAGTCTTATTGTACCACTTCTTTTCTCCACAAAGTGCATGGCCATTCCTGTTTTACCAGAACATGTTTTTCAAGATTTGCAAGCTCACTAAGTAAATAAAGCCCTGGGTTTAGGAAAACGGTTACATTAAACTATCAGGGCTTTGCAATCTTACCTCAAGATATATTGTTACAGTGATAACATTGATTATCTTTATTTTCCAGCAAGAGATGTTCCAAAGAGTGGTTCGTGAAAGCCATGAGCGTGTGAAACATCACTGTGATTTGCATGAGAAATTGGGAGAGGCTGACTTCCATGACAGGTAGGCTTCCAATTGTCCAGATTCATACTTGTTAGTGAGTTTGTGTTAACTCCTGATGCTGAGAGCTGCTAAGAGTGTACATCCAACCTTGAAATCTCAGAGGGCAAGAGAAAAAACAGAATTAACCTAGCTATCTTTGTCTTGATAATACAGATGTCCACATGGCCTTAGGTGTTTATACATGACGTTCCAGGCCAGTTTCCCAATTCTGGCCAATGTTCAGAAGCTAGTGAACCAAGCAGACCCTGGCTGCCTTCCTGCAGTCTCTTCGGGATCTTCTCCCCTCCACCTGGATATTTAGTTTGGAGCTTTGCCTGTAGTTGTTGGGTCCCTTTGTCAGAGTCAAGTTAGGTCATATAGTTAATTTAGTTTTTTTTTTTTACCAGGGAAGGTAGAGATGAATATAGCTGTCTGCCAGAGAGAACACATAAACCTCTTGTGTGCAAGGAGACTGGTATTTCAAAGATCACTATATGAAAAACCAAAAGTCAATTTTTAGGCTCTTTAGTGTCTTACTGTCTCTTTAGAAGTAGAGCGTTGAGGAAAAAATCAGTTTGATATAGTGTCCCATAAATTCAGCTTGAAATGGATGTCCAGTTTTAAGCCTCTACTTACATCACATTTGCTACTGTCCCATTAGGCAAAGTAAGTCATATGGCCAAGCTGAGTCAAGGGGTAGAGAAATAGACTCAATCTCTTTCTTCATTGGAGGATCTGCAAAATATTTTATATGGATGTCACACCATGTGACTTGACTTGGCTAATAAAATGTGAAAACTTTGGGGGCAGAAGCTTTAACAACCAATGCATGCTTTCCTATTTTCTCTTTTCCTTCAGACACAACAGTCAGATACATTTGAGATGGTAGCTGATCTATCTGTCTTGGTTCCAGATAAACAGAACCACCATGCCAAATTGCACTGGGCATATGGATTGAACGAGAAATAAGCCATTGTGTTTTGAAACCATGCAACAAAGTTGCCTTTTTTGTTATTGTTACAAAATCTCATCTATCCAAACTAACACCAAAATTGTGCAGGAATTAAAGTGATATTTTAAAGCAATAAATAAATAAATAAATTAATTAAATAAATTAAATTAAATTACTGTCCAAAATAATGGATCCAGAAAAAAATATTTTTTCAAAAAGAATATTTGGCTTATTATTTCTATATTGTGTTCATTTGCTAATGTCTAGTTTAAGGATTAGATCATGGTTCTCAAAATTTAGGGTATAGTATATCAAAATTACTTGGAGGACTCGTTAAAACACAGCGTCATCCCCAGAGTTTCTCATTCCCTAAGTCTGAGATGAGGCCTGAAAATTTGCATTTCTAACAAGTACCCAAGGCTGCTGATAATTGCTGGTCCATGAGTCACATACTAGACCCGCTCGCTGGATTAGGTTGCCTGCTCATTGGATGTTACAGCTAAGTTCTTTCCCCAACTCCATTATAATATAAAAGCAATGATTGATTCTAATTTTTTGTTGTCTTCAAATCCAGTAGTCTTTCTCCTTAAAATCTCCCTCATATCCCTCTATTGCCACCACCATTCTCCTACTTGAGGCTATCACTGTCTCTTGCCTGGACTTCTGGAATAGCCTTCAACTTCTTCTTACGTCATGTTGCTTCTTGCCCACCTTCATTCATTCTTTATATGGCAACGATAATTATCCTAAAAACAAAGCAAATCTGATTCTCTAACTAAGCTTTCTTCCTCTTTCTGTCTCCAATCCCCAATACCCTCCCCCCGCCAAAAAAACTCCACGAAACAAAACTACAATCACATGCAATGGCTCCCCTCCCACTTTCACTCCCCCCCTTTTTTTTTTCACCTGGCCTTTTTTTTGTTATTGTTAGCTCACAGCCCACATACCATTTCCTTTAGGAGGTATGCCTGACCTCCCTGGGATAGGATTAGATGCCATTCACTGTGCACCTGCAGCACTCTGAATTCCTGTCACTACATTAAGTATACCCACTATCTCACTCATTAGGGTGTGAGCCCCATGATATTGGGGCCTGTTTGCTGATTATTGCTGTCCCCCTATTCCTACACCTGTAGACAATCAACAGAAGCTGTAATGGCCTGTGTATACATTTATTTCAGAAGCTGTTTACTAAGTCTGATTTTGTTAGCTCTTATAGTGTAGCTCTTATAGTTTCCTTGCTAAGCACCCACCACCGCACCCCACAAAGGATCAGCATGGAGTAATTTGTGAGGAAGGTGTGAAAATAATTCTAGGTGTATTGAGTAAGTTATTGGGCCATTGGAACAAGGACTAACAGGAATTAAACCCCGTTTAATGTTTTGTTCAGCCTAAGCTAGAGATTGTCAAATATTGAGGAAATTCTAGAATTCTTCATTTAAGGAACGTGGTCATTGCCAGGAGTAAGAGGAAATTATTCTTTCAGGCTCATAATCCTTTATACTAAGAAAGCCCCACAACTATCTGCTCAAGAGTTGGTTATGTTCACAAAGAACATGGCAGCTGCTGCCACCAAATGTTGCCCACTAAGAGATGAGCAACGATTTGCCTGCATGGAGGACTCGGTAAGTCCATCTTGACTTCATGTTTGCCTCTTCATGGTCCTAATCTCCAGCCTCCAGCAATCAATCTCAGGTTCATGTACACAACTATGAACTGTCAATGGAGCTTAATATTTCTGTCCCCAGGAAAACTTCTTTTAGGCCAGCTCATGCCAATTGTCTTGATTAGCAGCAGAGGTAAGACTGTTACTTCCGTAAGGGTGGTGATGTCAGATTCAACAAGTCTTTACCTGGATCATACTCCAGGGTCTAACTCTTGGATTTGCAAGCCAACAAAAATGACTTTGTCAACAACTTCAAAGATAATGCTGATTTTAGATAAGTCATCCTAATCAAATGTGTAGGAAAAAAAGACAACAGTCACCATACCTCTGACACTAGATGTTTTTCCATACAAGAAGCAATTTCTTGTGATGCCAGCTGGATGTCCTATAACTTAACTCATTCTGATAGTGTCTATCTGAAGATAGCATCAGATCCCACAGGTTAAGGGACCAGTCCTACAAGACTGCTCCCATCCCACTTCAGATAACAATTGCAAGTCCAGGTTGTCCCCTATGATTCTGACTGACCAGCTATAAATCTAAGGTTCCCAGGATCTCCTCATCAGGTTTGATTAATTTGTTAGAACAGCTCACAGAACACAGAGGAACACTTACTTAAGTTTACCAGATAGGTAAAACATTTGATAAAGGAAATAGGTGAACTTCCAAATGAAGAGATACATAAGGTAAAGTCTGGGAGTGTCCGGAGTTCAGAAGCTTCTGTTCCTGTGGAACTGGGATGTGTTACCCTCTTTGTATGTGGATGGGTTTACTCACCTGGGAGCTCTCCAAACCCCATACTATTGGGATTTTGAAAAGTTTCCTTATGTATACATGATCAATTATTAACTCATTCCCAGCCCATCTCCCCTCTCTGGAGAATGGGTGGTGGGGTGGGGCTGAAATTTCAACCTCCTAATCATGGCTTGGTCTTTCCGAGAACCAGCCCCCATCCAGAAGTCCACCTAGAGTCTCCTTATTAGAACAAAAGATGCTCCTAGTTCTCTTATCACTTAAGAATTTACAAGGGTTTCAGAAGAACTTTGCCAGGAACTGGGGTCAAAGATCAAATATTTATATTTTTTATTATCTCATATCAAACTCACAAGTTCTAAATTTATTAGACAGAATACCACCTATGTGTTCATTTACAATGAGAAATGTCTTTCCAATAATTGGTCCTAATAAATGGACTACACTTTTTCTTGGATCAAAATACTTAGGAAGTTGAATGAAAATATGGGTAGTTGTATGAATAGAATCAGAAGAAGGGAAGGGATGGTCTTAAGGGATATTTCTTCCAGGCTATCCTGTGGAATGAGAAATTATGTCTTCCTCACAAGGAAGAACATCCCTCTAGGGACCTATATGCTCAAGTCTCCAAGATGTACTCTTTAGGTCTCTCTCAAGTGATATTAGTTTAACACTATGGAATTCTTATTTGGTGACAGCTTTTCTAACCTCTGTTCTTGACAGAACATCTTGTTTGTGCTAAATTTGTCCTTCTTCTGATAAAATACAATTTTTTGATTGCAGATTTAAAAAAATGTATTATCTAACCCTAACTTTTATTTTATTATAAGTTTTTATTATTTAGTAATGTCTTCCTTGGGAAACTCTTTCAATTAGACTTACATTGTTTCTAAAGCCTTATTTTTAGGTGATCTCTTTGGTTACATTTAAAATAGTTGGAAAGGCATATAGGCAGGCATGCAGACAACATCAAGATAAGAATCAGACACACAAGGAGCAAGGCAAAGTGACAGTTCTAGAAGAGGACAAGGAAATGAAGGAGGTAACTGAAATAGGATCCAAGAATTTCTCTCATCATCGGTTATTCATTCAATAAATATTCATAGAGCGTCTACCATATGCCAAGTTCTGTGGTCGTTACAGTTGCCCAGTTATAAAAATAGAAACAAATTGGACTTGAATTTCTTAAGTAAGAGCTCCACTCATCAGCTATACATGAGTCAAAGTTGCAGTGCTGTTGACTTGAGGCTTGATTTTAATTTAAAAGTGCGTAAGAAACTCCTACCTTAAGTCAACACTAGTCTACAATCTGGAGTGGGAAGGAACCTGGAGGTGCAGTACAACTGAACTCAATTGAGAATGGGGGGAAGAGGGAGGACAAGTCTGGGAACCAGGCTGCATCTGGCACGCCTGCTTTTTCCCAAACAGTGAAATCCAGACCAAACTAGCAGAAGCCAGAATTTGAGAATATTTATGAGTCTTATTTTCTATGGAGTAAAAAAAAAAATTATATATATTTGTATATATATATGTATATATATGTATATATATATGTATGTATTTATATATATATGGTTATATATATATATATATATATATATATATATATAAAACCAAATCCTTATGGCTCTTACTTTAATTCTCTTCTGGGAAAGGCAAAACTAATTCTTGGAGATTTATGCAGAAGACATGAGGCAGAGCCTATCAATGCTGGTGTAGGCCACTGCTGTGATGACTCCTATGCCTTCAGGAAGCCGTGCTTTGATGATCTGCGAGTCGATGGGACTTCTCCACCTTTATCCTGTGACCAAGTCATCAGCCTTAAAGAGAACTTGTGCAAAGCTCAGGAGGAGTTCCAAACTGAAAAACACAAGTAAGAATCCTTGTTTAATTTGCTCTTTACTTTGTTCTGCCTGCAAGGGAGCAGGTATAGGGAACAGTAAAGTGGGCTCAGGTAAAATACTGCAGAATGAATGGATCTGCTCAGTGTTACACTGGAGGTCGGTTAGAACTGAAAATATTCTGCGGTTTTGCAATATGGCTATCGTGGTTGTTACCCCAATGAACTCAGTTAGTGAGACTGAAGCCTACTGATCAGAAAATATTGACAGAGAAGTACATTAATGTATTTTTCCTAACAAGGGAAATTTGGAGCATTTGTGTGTGCGTGTGTGTGTGTGTGTGTGTGTGTGTGGCTGTGTGTGTGAGATATACATATGTAATGCATATGAAAACTATGAAAACATTTATAACTTAGAAAATTTTATGAATAGAAGTTATTACTTTGCAAAGTGTTATTCTGATTTGGTTGCTGTTTCTAATACTTTAGACTATTGGTCAGAAATATTGCCAGTAGAATACGATGTCTATAAATGTATATTTAGATGTATATGTATATACATATGCAACATGTGTTCTATGTAAAAAGGGCTTCTGGATGAAGTCAGCAATGGAGCCTGTGGGTTGACTGGATGAGTCTGTTGACCTGGGCCAGCCCCAGCCATTCTCTGCTGAGCTTGCTCAAGAGCATATGGTCAGCTGCTAAGTTAGCTGGGAGCTGGCTGGCTGAGGCTGGCCTTGGCTAGGATGGCTTGTCTCTGCTGCATGTGGCCTTCCATCCTCTGGCAGGTTAACCCAGGCTTCTGCTTGTGGTAGCTGGGAGAAGGTAGATGTATGGAGGCCTCGTGAGGCCCAGGTTTGGAACCACACAATATCACTGCTTCTATAAGGTAGGTCAAAGGGTCAACCCAGATGAAAATAGGGTATGGAAATAGACTTCATTTCTTGATAGGAAGAGTTGGAACATCACATTGCAAAGGACATGAATACAGAGAAAGATAGATAACTGGTCTATTTTGGTAATCGATCTGCTACCTGTGGATCATTAATGCAGTTGTTGAAACTATGGAAAATGATAAATGTCAAGATAATGGTGGAAAGTGAGGTGATATGCTGGGTCTCAAGTCATCAAAAATGAGGGAGAATGACCAGATTTTCTATATGGGGCAGGAATAAGTAGGGATGAGGGATGTTAGAGCTTGATAATGTGTACTTCAGAGGAGCAACGGCTTTTCAAAGAGCACGAAGAAGAGATATGTTGAAAGTAAAAGAGACCTAGATACTAAGGTAGATGGAGTTCAAGCAAAAATAGCCTTCTCTTGAAAGGTCTTGGGGAAAGCAGTGTCCTCTGGGGAGCCTCATGTTTTTGTATAGGGCAAGACTGAGAAGTTCCAAAGAGAAGCTGTGGAGAGAAGGACATTTTCTTGAGAAAGCCTCAAGTGACAAAGAAGACAGAGGACCAGGAAAGCAGGAGATGTATCAGATTAGGGATGTAGAAACCTCAGCATGACGAGGGGTGACCTGGGAGACTCAGATTTCTGACTGGACCGCTGCTAAGGTGACTGAGGGTCATGGCTTTGGCTTTGGAAGTACGCTTCAGTGCACATGACTTCAGAGCAGCTGACTCGCCCTTTGCCTCCGAGAGCATAAGCTGATTAAGATCTCATAGGTGGTTGGCATTTTCCCCAATTCTCCCCACTCTTGCTTAGGCGGATCGAATGGAACACTTACTGTCAGCTCTTAGAAAAGAGACTCCTTGTTTGCTGCTGTAGACAAAGAATTGCCTTCTTAGCGGTATCAATCATCCATCTCTTTGCCCGCCTTCTACTCCTGAGCCAGGAGCCAAGATACCCCCATGGCCCAGACATTTCTCCCTAGAATAAAATTCTGCTTCTGGTAAGTGTGCTGTCAAAGGCCCCATTTGGCAATGACCAAAGGTGACCATTCTAGGAAAAGCCAAAGGGTGAAATTCTGGTTTCCCTGAATTAGCAGCACTCCAGCCCCCTGACGGTGGGGCGGCAGTTCCCTTCTAGTGCCCCTGTTCCTGTCCTCAAGAGCAAGCAAGGGAGCCCTCGTCCTCATTGCTCCTTCTCCCCCAAGATCATTAGAAGTGGTAGCTTACTGTATTTCCAATTCATTGATTTACTCTAACACAGGCACTTGCAAGGTCTAAATGTAAGAGTCCAGCAATATCATCTTGTCAAGTGAGGCAAAATTTTTGTTGTCTCTGGATTGCACACATACTCGCAAGCAGCAAGCACAAGCTGGTGCTTGCTCTGTTTAATCACACCACTTGCAATTCTTAAGCCAGCTGACCCTTGGAATCCTTTCTGCAGTTGCCAAGGTGAGCCAATCTCAAACTAGACTTTAACACTTCCAGTCAACACCTGAAGACCACTGTAATGTTCAGTTAGCCATTCTTTTGTTTGCTCAGGCTGGACTTGAGAACGTTGGGGAAGGAGGTCTTTGTCACTCCTAGCGTGCATGCTTGCCTTCTCTTGAGGAAGCTCTCCGGGCATAGATAGGCACTGCGTTATGTATGGCATCTCACCAAATCCTTACCACAAATATATGAGGCAGATAACATTACATGCCATTTTAGTTGTAAGGGGCAAGAAGATTGGTATGAGATCAAGCAACAGGTAAATAGGTTGTTGAGCTGAAAAATTCACCCAAGCTCTCTGGCTCAAAGCACATACCTTTACCAACATATAGCTTTTAGTGCACCCTAATCAAGGGGTTATAATACTGGTTTTTAAAACACTGAGTTCTTGGGGTGCCTGGATGGCTCAGTTGGTTAAGTGTTTCAGCTCAAGTCATGATTTCAGGATTATGAGTTCAAGTCCCCAGTCGGGCTCTGTGCTGGGTGTGGAGCCTGCTTAAGATTCCCTGTCTCCTGCTCTCTCCCTCTTCCTCTGCTCCTCCCCTCCTATGCACACCTGCACTTTCTCTCTCCCTCTCAAAAAATAAAATAAAGTGAAATAAGTAAATAGAATAAAATAAAATAAAACACTGAGCTCTTAGATAAGGGCTAGATAATAAAAAGTATGAAATATTAGGAATCATCCCTGTTCTAGTGAATTCGCTGTGTTCTCTGTATGGAGAAAAGAGTAGCATAGAAACACTTAATGTAGAGCGTTCTGGACTATTCTGGGAGAATGTGTATTGGGAATCAAGAGTCAAATTGGAAAAAAGGCCTCTTACTTCCTGGGATAGTGGCAAGGGCTCTCTACGGCTTTGATCCCTTTATAATTCAGGCTGACTATCACAGCATAAATGTAAAAACACGCAAACAACAACAACAACAAAAAAACAGTGAAGGGGCTTCTGGAGGGGAAAGTAAAAATTGAGCAAGGTAGAAGAGAAGGTAGAAGTTGAGATTATGTAATAAGATAGAAACAATTGAAAGGAAACAGAAGCTCAACGTAAAAAAATTTAAAATCCAATTAAAAATATTGAATTGAAATGTGAAGATTTGAGAGAGTATATAAAGACCAGAATGTACTTTAAATGAAATGGTGGGCATATTTAATGACAATAAAATATTAATATCATAGAAGTGAAAAACTGAAAAAAAATTGGTGGTACTGAATTAAAAATAGGATTTAAGATTTAAAAAGGTAACTTAAAAATTCCAAGCTGAAAAATTAAGGGAACTATTAAGGGAACGAATTAAGGGATCTATTTTTTAATAACAGCCATCAGGTTGGTAAGTAGAGAGATCAGGGTGGGAGAAGGAGGAAATGGGCAAGGGAGGTAAATCAACTGCGAGCAGATCACAAGTGTTCCACAGTTTTTAGGGGGAGGGAGTCAAGCTTCTAAGAGGCACAGAGAGAATCCTCAGGTGTAGAAATGACTGCCTTTACATCTGGAGTTCCAAGGAGGGATAACATGACCTCCTGATACCCCTGCTCTGAATCTCGTTCCCAGAACTTCTGTCTTCTCATAAAGGGAAATTCTTCACCCATCCTTATTCCAGTACAATTTGGATGTTTCTCCTGGTTTCAAATAAGCAGCTGCTGGCTGGTGTTCTGGAAACCCAGCAGCCTTGCTGGTCTTCCCCCTACTGGTCCCTCTGAGGAAGTGCATTTGGAAACCAGCCCGCCCCGCGGGGGAAAGAGGAAAGCAGAGTGGTCCGGTGTGACCAAAGCGTAAGTGAGAGAAGGAAAATAAACTTTTGGGGTGAGACTAGAGGGTTTGGGAGGGGCCGAACCATGACAGCACTTGGACCCCACAGCTTATAAGTGAGAGAAGAGGAGGGCATAGACAAGGGAACTTTCCTGGCTCTCTCATTAAGTTTCTCTATTACTATTGGATCTACAGCTCAGATCCTCAGGGAAATTGTAAAGATGCTCTGAATGGAATAAATGAATGAACAGGAGAGGAGCCATGACAATGTACTATTTATTGTGAGAATCAGGGAAGAGGAGACCATGGTTGGAAGCAACTGATAATTTGAAATGGAAGCAAGATGTGCTATTATTATACAGTTATTGATCATTACTATTATCTTTGCCATTATTTACTGCCTGAAGTAAGCCACTTACTATACTCAGCCCTTTAATGCGTTATTTTTGGGCCCTTACAAATGCCTTGCAATGTAAGTGTTCAAATTTTCTTTTTATAGATTAAAGTCAGAGGTTAAGTACCTCGCTCACCATACAGTACCTAGTTGAACCAAAGTTAGTTTGACTTCAAGGTTTGTGCCCTTTTTATGACATCAGAAGGAAAGAGGAGTCCAGATTTTGCATGAACCAGTAGTAAACTCTGTCTCCTTCCTACACCAGCTCCTGCCCTTTCCATGCTGAATGCCCTAAGCCAGACCATAGAAGCCCTAACTGCATGTTTGGAGATGGGGTATTCCCACAGTGTAGGTACCCATGACTGGTAGTTTCTATTACCTGGGACTTCTGCAAGCCTATGCTCTCATGGACGGGTCAGTGAATTTCAGCATCATGATTAATATTGTTTTTGTAGGAAAATACATTCTAGGACAAATTCCATCAAATTCCAATGGGAAATAGCCTGTATTTCTCACTTTTACTAAGTAATTTCCTAAAAACTGATAATGATTATTTAAAGGTAGTGGAAACTGGTTTGAGGATATATCTAACCATACAGACTTAAATTATGTAGACACACTTAAAAACAAGTGCAGCATTTTCTTTCAAGTGGGATCAAGTTTAGGTCTAATTAGAAGACTAACTACAGAACAGTAGGAGAGAAAAAATAATGTTTATATTATTCTATTTCTTTTTAAAATATTGATTTCTGTTACTATTAAAGTAATGCATAATCAGTGCAAAAAATTTAGAAAATACAGAAGAGAGAAGAAAATCACAATACTTTTATTCCAACACTGCAGAGCTGCCCAGTATAAACATACATGTGTATAAGAATATATGTCACATACACATACAAGCACACGCTCCCACAATTGCCCTTTGCCCATTAGTCTGTGGTCTAATATTTAATAATACAAGTTTTGCACAATCTTGCGACTAGCTGCTTATACAAAATTTTGGCTCCAGCAATATCCCTAGAATCCTGAGGGGAGAGCTTAAGAAACTCCCTTCACCCCCAGGAATTCTCCAGACATGCTCTCCCTGGCACCACTCCTGGGCCCCTGGGCACAGTCCTGCTCTCCAGCTGCCGCTGTCTCCTGCTCAGCTACAGGATGCATCCCTTGAAATGACAAAGCTGCTTTCTGTTTTGTTGTGAAAGAAAAGATCACCCCTTCCCCCTGACCCGCAGGATTATCCACTTGTGGCAGGTCCCAGGGCAGTGCTGGGTGTGTCCCCATGGTCGGCAGGACTTCAAGGAAAGTTCCCTTATGGCACTTTTTCAAAGTGCGGATCCCGTGTAACTCAGAAATGAGACCAACGAAGGCCCAGTTGGGGAACCATGAAATCATTCCCATCTCCCACTGATCAAGCTTTCTTACTGGATGGAGGTCTGCGAGGGTGACTTCTGGTCTCAGGAGGAGTTCTCCCAAGTGGTTCCCAATCCTCTTGCCTTCTGGGAGGGATGCTGACCTCACTGGTTTGCTGTATATGCCCCAAACTGTAATATTCCCAGGAGGTCTGAAATCACGGATACTAATGCAAAGTGGAGAAGACATACAGCCTTATTAAAAAGGTAAGTGACAGTATTACATGGGATAATATAAATTCTCAGCACACTGTCTCGATCATAGTAGATATCTGTACACTCAAAAGATGTTGGCTGTTGCCACTATTCTTTTGTATAGCTTTTAAAAATTATAATGTATGCATTTTGGTCACTAATTATTCTTTAAAACCACATTTTAATGGCTCTATAATATTCCACCATCTGGGTTCCATGATGAATTTAATCATTTCTTATTGCTGGACATGAAAATTGTTTTCAATTTCTAACCAACATACATTGTGACAATGAGCATTTTTGTACATAAATCTTTGTTCCCGTATCTGATTTTCCCTGCTAGATTCCTAGGACTTAGGAGGCAAACATGGAGGTAGTTAAAATCTCTTAGCTTCTTTCAGCTCTGTCTGGTAGCTGAGGGACAACGATGATGTGTTCTTCAAACTAGCCTCCTTTTGAGGTAGTTTCTGAAAAGAAATCATCAGTGGGGCGCCTGGGTGGCTCAGATGGTTAAGCATCTGCCTTCAAATCAGATCATGATCCCAGGGTCCTGGAACTGAGTCCCACATCGGGCTCCTTGCTTCTCCCTCGGCCTGCTGCTCCCACTACTCTTGTGCCCTCTCTCTCTGACAAATAAATAAAATCTTAAAAAATAAAAAATAAATAAATAAATCATTAGCATGTGCTTTTCTAGTATTTTTAGTTCTGCTGTTGTTTTAGCTTTGTGTATCTGCAAGGCAGGCTGGGGGTGTGAGGGTTGGGGGCAGTGGGAGAGGGTGGAATTGAAATGGCAACTTCGAAGAGGCATGTCCCGTGGGCTACCATTAAGCTGGAGGTCTTGTTCTCTTGTTTAATGAGAGCAGGCTATGGGCCTGTGGGCGCGGCTGATTTTGTAGGTCCCGAGGGCACTATTTGACTGGGCTAAGCTTGAGACCTGCAAAGGTTCAAGTTTGCTCGATCCATGTCTCCCACTTTGCTCCCAGTGCCTGCCTTCCTTCAGGTGACCATGCTCGCAGTTGCACCGTGCCTGAGCTGGTGCCCCCTATATTCTGGCGATGTTGCTGTTGGTCACTATTGGGCAGCAAAAGGTGGTGTCCTCTTAGTCCAGGAGTCAAATGACTCAGTGAGTAGCTGGGGCTAGCTGGCCACATTGAGACAGCTGGGAGAAGAGGAGGGCGTGTCTGGGGCAGGGAGTGAAACCCACCACAGTGCGTACCTCCTCTCTCCCTGGCTGGTCCCGCCTCTCCATCGTCTTCAGCTGACAGCAGTTGGACACAAACTGTGTCTGCCACCTGTCACGTGGGCAGCCCACCCCAGGCAAATGGGAGTTTGGAGTTTTCTGTCTTGTGATGTATTTATAACATTATACTTCAAAGCCTAAAATAATTACTATCTGCAATTGTTTACTAGACCCCTGGTTTAAATTGTCATAGAAATAGCTGCTTCGAGTTTTGAGATATTTTCTTTTATACCCATTCAAGGCACAAATAAGGCCACTGGGTATTATCAATGAATTTGAAAATGAAGAGTAAGCAAGGGTTTTTGGTTGAACAGTAAAATACCAATTAATGTACATTTCCCCGACCCCTCATGACTTATTTTCTCTTTGGTTAAATCTGTCTTGATCTAAAACAATGAAAAAGAGAGAGAAAGGGAGAAGATAACACTGGAAGATTTGGAATACTATTTTATTAAGTAGAGAGACAGAAACCAGGTTACACTTTTGAATATTCAAAGTGGTTGAAACTACCGTTGTGGGGGGAACTCTTCGATGAAGGACGTCAGAGATATTGTCAAGCCATGATAGTTCGAAATTAGTTTATTGGTTTATCATTAATAATGCATGAAAGACCCTCAGCTTTCAGGTGTGTCATACTTACAATATTTATTTGGAAGCTGGTTGTTCAGCATAAATGTTCCTAACAAAATACAGGAAAAACGATTTAACTTACTATATCATCTATTTACCAACCAATGCCTTGAAAATAGAAAACAAAAATCTCTACCCTAGTAATAATTATATAAAAATAATTAAATTTAATGTATGAATTATGTAAAAGAGATGTCCTGGAAGAAAAGCATGTTGGGTAAAACACGAAGATGGGGATGGGCGGTGTGACCTCTGTGAACACATCACTGCATTTTCAGGGCTTCTAAGCGTCTGAGTGCGGGTGACGAAGATGCATGGGCGGTCCCAGAGTTAAATCAGTAAGGCGGGCGTGCAAGCTAACCTTCTAGAATTCAGCGTGCACTTGTGTTTTTGCCACTCCTTTCTGATTCAGGCTCCTCAGCAACCTCGTGAAGCAGAAGCCATACGCAGCAGAGATGCGGTTCCGATCCATGATGGACAGTTTTGCCCACGTGGTGGAGAAGTGCTGCCCAGCAGAGACAAGTGAAATGTGTTTCCGAGAAGAGGTATCTGTCTGTTCTCTCAGTGTGCTAGGATGTACTGAAGTTGAAAAACACAGAACTAAACAAAACAAAAAACCTTTCTCCGTCCTAATTGTGGGTGAATGCAGAGAAAATCGCAGTCCAGATGGACTGGTGGAATCCATTATATCCGGCTTTAAGATATGTGATTGAGAAAACTAGCGGTTTAGACAGGCACAAAGTCGAGTACCGGTCATGACTCCAGATGGAGTGGAGATATTTAGGATTGGGGGTGCGAGGAGGGAGGATGGACTGAAGATTTGGATAATTGCAGAGAAAGGGTGTCCTTGGAATGTCACGAAATTTTAAAGAAATAACAGTTCAAAAACCTGTCTGGGCAAACTGTAGTTTTGTTCTAGAAATTTCTGGGGGCACAGTCAGGAATAGTCACCAAATGTAGTTTGGGGCTTCACTAAGGAGCCAGTGGAAAGGGTTTCATTTTCTCAGTGGCCAGAAGATCATTATCGGAGAGGTTGAAGAATAGAGAGGAAGAAACAACGACAGAAAAGAGTCTGTGTGCACACCCACCAAACGGACTATGAGCAGACTGTTTTCTGGAATTCATCTAATTGCATATAGTTAACAAGTAAATGACTTTCATTCTAAGTCGTAGGACTTAAATTTCTAAGAATATCATGGTAGGATGCGGCACAGAAAATTCATGAAAATTCATGGAGGGGACCCAGGAAAACTGCTGTCCCAGGGACGTGACGTGAGGAGCAGAAACTCAGGTAGAGTAGATTATAGTATCTGAGCAGAGGAATGCAGAGTGTAGGTGTAAAAAAATAAAGCAGCCTTTATAGTGCAAATGGGCTGGGACCATTCCGACCAGGGTTAAGTCTAGCAGTGGTCCAGGGAAATGTTTTCACAGGTAACAATTTTTATGAATCCTTAATTACCTTCAGTGGCTCTTTTCTACCTATTCAACTAAACTGTACATGTATTTATGTTAAAAATCAAATGTCTACAGTCTACAAGGGCAGGCAAACTACAGCCCTCAGGCTAATCGACTCCACTTCCTGTTTATATAAATGAGGTTGTCTGACACACGGTCCTGCCCATCTATTTACATATTCTCTGTGGCTGCTTTCTGTACACAATGGCTGAATTAAACAATTGCAGACTGATTAGTTGTGACAGAGACTGTATGAACTGCAAAGTCCCAAATATTGACTATCAGGCTGTTCACAGAGAAACTGTACTGACTCCCAGACTCGCTAATAACAAAGTCAGAGAAATCACCTATGCTAGAGTCTATTTATTTATTTTAAAGTCTTTTTGCTTTTTGTAGAGCATTCAGAGAACATGTTCCCCCCCGAGTATCAACCCCACAGCCACACAGATCAACACTCTGAAGAAGGGCCTGTGTCTGCGAATTCCCAAGGGAGTTTTCTTGACGTATTCTCGCTTCTGCGTAAGAATACGACTTGCTCAAACTATTATTGGAGAATAGCATGATAGGGAGAGTTCTGTGGGCTTTTCCCAGGCCTTTCACCTAATAGTGATCTAACTTAATGGTTTAAAAGCCCAGCTATTTTTCTTTTCCCTCCCCTCCCCTCTCTACTTTCTTTTAGGATCTCTCCCCCAAATTAAAGGAGAAAATAGAAGCTATCTGAAGAATATATCATGTTAATTAAAGTTGGCCAGAATTACTTCTTCAGATAAAAATGCTTATTATCTGTAATTATGCCTTATCTCTAACGTTTTGTCAAGTTTATCCTTGTCTGATTATTCCAAGGCAGTGATTCTGAAATGTTAGTGTGCATCAAATCAATTCCAGAGCTTGCTAGAACAAAATCAGCGTTTTCCTCCCACAAGGTGTCTGATTCAGTAGTTCTGGGGTGGGGTCTGATAATTTACATTTCCAACAAGTTCCCAGGGGCTGCTGACGCTGCTGATTTGGGAAATCCTTTAAGAATTATTTTGCTGGGGCACCCGGGTGGCTCAGTGGGTTAAAGCCTCTGCCTTCCGTCATGATCCCAGAGTCCTGGGATCCAGCTCTGCATTGGGCTCTCTGCTCAGCGGGGAACCTGCTTCCACCTCTCTCTGCCTGCCTCTCTGCCTACTTGTGATCTCTCTCTGTCAAATAAATAAATAAAATCTTTAAAAAAAAAAAAGAATTACTTCGCTAAGGTGCAAGTGGTTAATCATACACTGTTCCCCATCCCCTCCCCATATTTTCATATGCCCAACTGTCAGTGAGAAGCTGGAACCAAGGACAGGAGGGGAAGTAATGAAACAATTGGAAATAACATTTATGAACGAAAGGGAAAGAATTGGGGGATATTAAATATAAAGCTACGACTGGAATATTTTTTAAAAATAGCCTTATAGTATATGAACAGGCTTAGCAAAAAAATGTGGGGATAGATGATCAAACTACTTAAGAATTTTATCGCCAAGAATTGGTGTCTTTGTACTTCTACTTCTATGAAAGGAGTCTAGGTTGACTCTAGTGCAAAGGAATAAAACCTAGCTACTCTAGGAAGCCCCATGGAACCAAGACCCCAGAAGTGAAGAGACTCAGCCAACGGGCAGTCCGTGTTTGTTCCAAGTTAGCTAGAAAAGACTAAGTGCTCCAAGGACCTGCAGGCATGTTCTTTGTTTTCTTTTGAGATTTTAAGAGTCGATTATGGGAACCTGTTCTGCCTGTTAAAAGAGAAAGTAGGGGGGCACCTGGGTGGCTCAGTTGTTAAGCATCTGCCTTCGGCCCAGGTCATGATCCCAGTGTCCTGGGATCAAGCCCCATATCAGGCTCCCTGCTTGGCAGAGAGTCTGCTTCTCCCTCTCCCTCTGCATATATGCCCTCTCTGTCTCTCTCTCTCTCTGATAAATAAATAAAATCTTAAAAAAAAAAAAAAAAAAGAGAAAGTAGGCAGGATTGAAGACTGTCTTTCTAGCTATAGCCATTAGGAGGATAAAACCTTTTTAGACAAGATGGAAGACATTTTAAGAAGCAAGCCAAATTCTGAGGAGAAAAAGGGTGGACCGAAGTCAATGTTGGAATGTTGGCAAGAGTACAACTGAAATATGTAAAAGGAAAAAAAAAAAAGAAAAGAAACTCAGCTATACAGGGTGAATTTGGATCATCCAGAGAAAAGGCATCTCACATTTCATGAAACAAATTATAGACATCAGCAGGTTCAAAGAGAAAATTCAACTCAGAGAAATTCTCTCTGCCAGGTCAGTGGGGAACAATAATTATAGCCCAAGATATTTCTCTATCAACCAATAGAATATAATATAGAAGAAAGTAAACATGAATAAGCAGAAATGTGGGCAAGTTGAAACAATGTTTTGAAAATAATATATGAAATTTAACAATGGAAAAAAGGCAAGGTTCTACTGTTAGACGTGACTTAACCCAGGTTCATGTGGAAAGATCTGCTGGTTAAGTCATCTGTACCTACCAGCTTGATGGATCTAGTATCAGAGCTACCACAATCTTGGATGTGTTTCTGAAGAGAAAACAAGGATCAGATGAACCAACGTGATAACCCAAACTTATGTGGATCAGGTCATTCCTGGTTACTATGTTCAGTTTCTTACCACAGTTTCTTACAGTTACGCAAGCTTTGAAAATTGTGTAGGTAATGCATGAACACAGTAAAAGTTCAAGCAGAAGACCAGGGTGCATTTCCCATACCCAAAAGGTAACCAGTTTAAGTTTTCACTTTTAGTTCCAGAGATTACCATCAATGCTGTAGTAGTTTCTTAAAATATTAACATCACATAATGAATTAAGTGTACTTAGGCTAACTTCCAGAAGTCTATCTCTAGATGTTTTCTTAATTTATTTAAAAGTATTTTTAATTCTTTTATTAGTTATATTTTATTTCTTGGCCCTTTAATACCAGTCAGCATCTAGTAATTCTCCAAAACTAGTTACCATGTCTAAACTTCCTTTGACTTCCTGCCAGCTTTTTTTAAAATTTCATTTTATTTTGTTTTTTGTTTTTTTCCAATGTTCCAAAATTCATTGTTTATGCACCACACCCAGTGCTCCATGCAATATGTGCCCTCCATAATACCCACCACCAGGCTCACCCAATCCCCTGCCCACCTCCCCTCCAAAACCCTCGGTTTGTTTCTCAGAGTCCACATGGTTTGTCTCCCCCTCCGAAAGCTATATATACTAGTATGTCTACATTGTCTGGGTTTATTTATCTGCATATTAAATATAAGGTTCAAATGCTTTGTTCATAAGTGGATGCTAAAAACTGGAAACCATTAAATTCTATATTTAATTGTGTGTTTAGTTGGAACACTATTTACATTAGTACCGTGAATGGATGGACCAATGGAATGACTTACCCTGTTAAAAGGTGTAGAGATTAAACAAATCTCTTTTCTTACATAAGCTGCAGAAAATCATGCCACTTTTATTAGTTTTGCACATTTGGACTACAATTCCCTAGTGTATCCTTCCGTTTTTGAGAGTTGTTAATTGTCTTTCTTTTTCTATGTTGGCAAATAAAGCACCTACTTTCATGCACCACTAAAATGTTTCAGGTTCTTAAGAATAGAGTTTTTGTAACAGACTATTCTGTCTTCTTAAAAGTATATTTCAAAAAGTCCTCTGACTTAATTTTTCAATTGGATCTAATTATTTCTAGGACTGATTCATGTCTGTCCACATGGGGTCTCATTTTAGTGTAATCCTGGGTAAATTGGACTATTTCTAAAATACTATTTTATGTTTTTTCTTGGACTATTTTGTTTTGCTGGACTACATTCCTAACACGTATGTGCATATGTATGGATTATTTCAAAATGAACACCTGGGAGATAAACTTTCTGGGTCCTTACATTTTAAAACATTATTTTGTCTATATATTTGCACAATATTTTTGCTAATATGTCAATGAGGGTTCTTTGGGTATAATAATAGGATTGAATTCTGGCTAAGTAAAGATTAGCTTATTGAAAGGGTAGTGGTGGCTACAGGAATCTTTAAGAAGTTTAAAAAACAGGCTGGACAGCAGACAAGAACTAAAACCAATTCAGAAGTCAATGACTTTCTGTTCTTTTACTGCTGTGACATATCATCCTTTTATTATCCTGAGCTCCTATTTTTGTACTTTGAAATATTGGTCAATATCATACTGATGACTTTTTTTTTCCTCAGCCGTTCATCATTATATCTTGTTGCTTTTTTTTTCTTTTTAGCATTGATAAAGATTTCTTCTTCTTTTTTATTTTTTAAAGATTTTATTTATTTATTTGACAGATAGAGATCACAAGTAGGCAGAGAGGTAGGCAGAGAGAGAGAGGAGGAAGCAGGCTCCCTGCTGAGCAGAGAGCCCAATGCTGGGCTCAATCCCTGGACTCTGGGATCATGAACCAAGCTGAAGGCAGAGGCTTTAACCCACTGAGCCACGCAAGGCCCCAATTTCTTCTTTATTTAAAATAATATTTTTACCATTATTGCACTGGGATTTTGGAAGAGATGAGAGACAATACATCTTAAGAGAATATTGGCAAATTGTTATGTCAAGAGAGTATCTGAAATAAAAAAAAGTGTTGAAAAGCATGTCACAGGGATATGGAGAAATTGACTGGTAATGTTTATTCCAAAGTCTTAAGATGGGTGATATGATAGCAGTCTACCAACCTGTCTAGGATTATAGGAGGCCAGAGTGACTAATTTGGTGTCAGTGTAAGGAAAATGTCTCCTCTTTCTTTTCTCTGTTCTCTGCCCTCCATCATGAGTCCATGTTTTATATTTCAATATCTTCCTTGGACTTTGCCTCAAGATATAGTGCTACCATCCCTTATTTCATGCAGAACATTTCTCATTATTACGATAGTTTCTCAGAAGCCTTTCTTCTACTTTACCTTTATCAGAAGCGTCCCCCTTACCCCAACATTTGTTATCATTACAAATTAGAAATTTATTGAGGAACTATGAAATAAATACAGTCGGGAGGGACAGATATAGAGAAATATGACTTACTCCACTATTATTAGGTTCAGAGCCAATGAACAAGATTAAATATGAAGGTCTTGAGGTTAAGCTTATGGGAAAATTTCCCATGAAGATGGATTTAAATCTTTTAAATTTAAAAGGCATTTTCAAGGCACTTCTTAAATCCAAAGTCACGAGTTGCCAAAGAAACGAGGATACGTTACACTGGGAGCAATTTTTATAAACAAACTTAAATAGATTCCAGTCTCCAGAGGATTTAAGTGTGGTCTGTTTGAGGGCAGGAAGAAGGACTAAATTAATTGACTTCTAACCATGTCCAACAGGGTGATAGGAGCTCTTAGGAGTGCAAGCCATCTATCACCTGGGGGGCTGTGTGTGTGTGTGTGTGTGTGTGTGTTCATCTCAGCAGTGGAGTTCCAGGGGTCCCATTCCCACAGTTAACTAAGAGTTAACTTTTATTGATTTCTCTGGGCTTCCACAAATAACTTTTATTTGAATAAAGACTACCCGGGTAAAAATTGAAGAGAACTTCTGGACTTAACATAGAGGTTGATTTCAGTACGTATGAAGGCAGTAGAGACACTGATAATGTTGGTGATTTTATTCTTCTTAAGTTCTTATACCTAATTGTATAATGATTTAGCATGGGATTAGCCTTGGGAAGCTTTAAAATGCAAGGAGAATCTGATGTTGATTGTCTGTTTTTTTTTACCCTGCAGCAAGAGTCCCATATTTTTGTGAGGAAAAAACAAATTTTTATTTATTCCAAATCTGGGGTCCTGAGGGGGGAGAGGCATTGCAGTTAGTAAAGCCCTTAAGCTCAGAGACTAAGCTCTAAGAAATTCCAAGACCTTGAGCTGTGGGCACATTAGAGCCTCTCTCAGGCATATAATAGACAAGTCTTAAAGATTTTCTCTTTGGGGATCATAGATGTTCAGATGTTTTGTTTTGTTACAGATGTACTTATTTGCTTTTTTTTTTTTTTTCCCCCTAGGGGTCCAAACTGATTGAAAAGTGCCAGTCTCTCTTGGGAAGCAAATGATTCCAGAAAATGTCAAAGTGAAGTCTTTGCTGAACTCTGCCTTTTATTTTCATGAGTAATAAAACACATGTCTCATATCCAAAATACAAATGTTGTTAAACATTTTTAAGCCACTCACAATGTTACTCAAGAATCCTTGCCAGGCTACACTAAATCTCTCCTTTTCTGCTTAGCAGAGAAATCTACTTACTGTAACCCTCATATAACCAGCTGACATTCTTCCTTTCTCCCAGAAGCTTCCAGCCTCTCAGGAGCTGCACCAGAAATATGAAATCTCGGGGGCCTTTCAAAACCTCAGATAGAGGTAATGGGCAGCCACATCTCGCTGGGAACTGGCTGCTGGGTTTCCAGAGTGTAAAAGACCCAAGTGAAGCTTTGAAGTTTCTGTCTATTCCCCTGCCGAACTAAGTGGAATGTGCTTTATAATAAGTTACCTTTATAATTGTCTTGGTTTATTTTTTTGTTTTGTTTTTTTGTTTGTTTGTTTTGTTTTTGTTTTTTTGTTTTTTTTTTTTTGCTTTTTTGAAGGTGTAGAATTGGAAGGTACTTGGAAGCACTTACAACATTCATTCATTCAGTAGATTTTTAGTGGGTATCTGCTGGGTACAAGGCATAGTTCTAGGAGCTTGTGACCCATCAGTGACCAAACAGAACAGAAAAAAATTCCTGTCTTCATAAGGTTTACCTTCCAATGGAACGTGGTGAAAACATGCGTTTCCTTCTTTTTGCCTCTTTCTTTCACCATCAGTTAGACTAGAACTATCAGGACTTTGCCTCATGCCTGTGGCATCGAACACATTATGAAATCAAGAAAATATTTAACGTTCTGTTTGCCAAGAGTCTTTGAGTTATTAGCAAAGCTCCAAAAGGTCAGAACTGAGGTGAGGAATAGGTCCTGTGGGCGGTACCTTGTCACCTACATGCTAAGTTTGCTTTTGCAACAACTGGTGTTCTAAAGACACATAGTTAGACGTAACTTCCGGCTCGTTGTCACTGGCTGTGTACTAACAACCAGCATGGGGCTGTGTGCCAGGTACTACTGTTAAGTTTTTACCAGGAAAAATTCATGTGATCTTCATCACAATCTAATGAGGCAGGTGCTATCATTAACCTTCCCATTCTACAGACGAAGACATTGCACGCAGAGAGGTTAAGTAACTTGCCCAGGCATTCACAGGTGGTTTGGAACCAGGAGGCGAATCTAGACCATTCAGCTCCAGAAACTGGGCTCTTCCCTAGTGCATTAGTGCTCCTCTGGCATGTCAAGGAACATGATCTGAAAACTCAACTTCACATTATGGAGGAGATAATGGCTATTTCCTTCCATGAACAGTTAAACAAACATCTAGCGCTGTGTCCTTTAACCACTGACTCTGCAACTAAAGCCTCGGCCTTGGAAGGATGCCTCCCCTGTTCATTCGGTTTCTCATTCTTTCCTGTCCATTTCATTCTCTCTTTCATCTCTCTTTTCTTGAATATACAGTATATTATATGATATATAAAATATACTATATATGTAATGCACTATATTATAAATATATCAATATATTATTAATTTATTTATTTGTATATAATTTATTACAATATATTATTTATTAATTTATTATTAATTTTATTAAATTATTAATAATTTATTAATACATAATACTATAGTTAATATATTTTATGTATATATAAAATATATAGTTTCTGTATGTGTGCTCCCTTCTTTAAATTTTTAAAGTGACCTCCGAGCTCCTTAACCCATTTTCCCTATCCTTCCATCTTTTATCTTTACCCCATATATGTGATGCTGACATTGGAACCCAGGGGTCCTGATATTTATTAACTCGAGATTTCAGTGATGACTTGTAATAGCAGTCTTCTCCCCAGAAATCCTGGCATAAATGACATAATGAACTTATCATTTGGACTTACTTTTATTTTTCCAGATTTTTTAAATGCATAATAAAAACTAAGCAGTGATGTTTTAGGGTTTACTACATAAGTGAGTTTATTTTGATTATAGAAAAAATTTAATTCTCATTACAGTTCACTTTATTTTATTAGTTAGTTATTTTATTTGAGAGAGAGAGAGCATGTGCACAGGAATACAAATGGGAGGAGAGAGGGGGAGAGGGAAAGGGACAAGCAGACTCCCTGCTGAGGGCAAATCCCAATGCAGGGTTGGATCTCAGGACACTGAGATCATGACCTGAGCCAAAGTCAGACACTTGACCGACTGAGCCACCCAGGCACCCCCAATTTACTTGATTTTAAATAGTTTTTCCTCACTCCAGTGATTTTGACACATTCATAAACATGAACAAATTAGACGCAAAGAAATGTTTGTTAAGTTTCTATTGTATCCTGTACATGGCTTGGTGTTGTAGAGCACAATATGAATACACTAAAAGCAGATAACCAATGCATTATATGAGACACGGACACATAAGGAATTATAACAAAGGGCAGATTTCAAACTTCCAGTGTCACGAGAGCAGAGCTGATAACGTGATGCGCCAGAGTCTAAGATCACACATTGTCCCAGAGACTGGGAAAAGTCACGGAAGGAACGACCCTGGCCAAAGACTAGAAACTGGGCAGGATTGGAACATACAGAGATGCGGTGCGGTGGGATGGGGGGTGAGGTGTTTCGGGGAATGGTGCGTGATTCAGTTTGGCTGGTTTTAAGACAAAAATTAAATAGGGGTGCCTGGGTGGCTCAGTGGGTTAAAGCCTCTGCCTTCAGCTCAAGTCATGATCTCAGGGTCCTGGGATCAAGACCCACATCGGGCTCCCTGCTCAGCGGGGAGTATGCTTCCCCCCCACCCCTGCCTGCCTCTCTGCCTACTTGTGATCTCTGTCAAATAAATAAATAAAATCCTTAAAAAAAATTAAGTAGCTGTGGGCGGTAAGACCTAGTGGAGAATAAGGATACAATGGTGGGGGGAGGGGAGCACATCGTAGTTTAATTACAACAGCAGCTAAGATTTATCATACCTGTTATGCGTCAAGTGCCGGCCCTCGCATGTGTGATTCCTAGAGTCCCCACAACTGTCTTCGGAAGTAGACTGTCCCTACCAGATTGTCACTATCAGATCTGTCTGATAACTGTCGGACTGTCAACCGTCACTGTCCGATGGAGTGTAGTTGAGAGTGACGTCATAGATTACAGTGGTAAGAAGGTGGATTCCGGAGCGTGAGTCAAATCCTACCTAACTCTTCTCCTAAAGACCTTAGCACATTTCCTAACTTCTCCATGGCTGGCTTTCTACTTCATCTATGGCATTGGGCTGAACGGGCCGTTTCTTTGTGGGACTATAATAAACACTAAATCAGCTAATACATGTAAAGCTTAAAACACTACTTGGTAAATAGCAGGTGCCATTAGTGTGATTAGAGTAACCTGAAATTGCTGCTTTTGTAGGTTAAATCTTGACAATTTCAAATAGCTCTATCTAATAGGTGTTAGCTCTTCTTATTTAGAAGACACATGGATGCTGCTGAGGGTTTTGTCCTAATCGCACGCCTTTCCTTTCACATGTAGACACAGCCATGGACCTTTAAATGGGTTTCTTTTGCATTTTGCACGATGTCGTGCTTTGTCAGTAGAGGGCGCTGGAGAAACGCTGCGCGTTTGGGCTTTCCTGACGCTAGGGGCGGACTGGCCAGGCTTCTGGGAGGTGGCCTTTTTTGTCCACTGCTTTGCCCAGAGGGCCTTCTCCGGGGCTCATTGCCTGTAGGGTGCAGCTTTCTTTCCCATTTGTGTCCCCAGCCCCTTCTCCCGCTTTTGATTTGGTTTGCGGTGGCACGGTCTGGAGCAGAGCGCTGGTCCGGGCCTCCAGCGGTCACTGCTCTCTGCCCACCTCCTCAGTCAGCGCCTGCGCACGGGGACACCCCCCCTCGCACCCTCCGCCCCAGGTGGCCATCTAGGAAGCCACTTGACCAGCCTCTGTCCCACGGCTTCGAAGGCACCGCTGCCCACATCCCGCGCAGTGTTGCCCTAGTGCCTACAGAGGAAGACCCTTTAGCTCCTGGTCCAGGCACACCTGCAACAGGGCCCCCGATTCTCTGTGCCCCCAAACTTCCCGCAGACCTCCAGACGCAGACACTATGCGATCTGGGCCGTGGGCCTAAAGAGAATCCCTAAGGCCCTCTGCACACCACTTATCCAGCTGCTCCGCACCCCAAAGGGCTGTTTGTCCTACGACGACCTTGGCACTGGCAGGCGGCAAACTTCCCTCTACCAGGGGCGACAACCACAGCCTCTCTCTCGGGTGAATTCCTGAGCCCTGATTCCAAACTTTCCCTTTTTGGGGTCCTCTTCCTCAGCCTTAGGGTACACTTTGGAGGTCTCTTTCTTTCTATTCTATCATCACAGCTTGATTCTTTATATTAAACTTCTCCTGCTTCAATAACTGTTTCTGTTATTAAGATCCCTCACCCCTCACACACACTGAGTAGGTATTTGTGTTTCCTCTCCTGTGATTTTACTTTTTATGTGGCTTCTCTTTTTCTTTCTTTCTCCTTCCTTCCTTCCTTCCTTTCTTTCTCTTTCTATCTTTCTCTCTCTCTCTCTCTCTTTCTTTCTTTCTTCCCACGTCTTGGTATTTTTCTTACACATCTTGTAGACCTTCAATATATTAATGATTAATCTTCTGTCCTTTATGGCAGGCACTTTACATGACTTAAAATTTTTTTTATAAGTATACCGAATTTTAACGTCTTCATTTGCCCCATTTTGGCATGATGAGACCATTTACTTACGAACTGATAGCTGGAAGGATAATGATGCTAGCCTCTGTTTTCTTCAAGAAAAGATTTCCTAGAATTTAAAGGTTATAGCACACTTTTACTTTCATCTGGTTTAGGTTTCGGTTTTGGTGACACTTTGTCTTAAAAAGGTGTCGCATTTTAATTTTGATAATTAATCTTCCAACTTGGGCTTACTACAGACAACCCTTCTCCCTTAGTACATGTAATGTACCCAAACAATTTAATATAATGCTTAAGAGGAA